GCTTGTGGTTTGGTTTGACAGTAAATGGCTTACAAAAACCAGACTCTTCTTTCCAAGAATAAAACTAATTTGGCCTCCTATGTGATAGTAAAACACATTTAAGTGCTTCCGTTCTTTGCATAGATTAATGTGTTTTATGCACTCTGAACAAATTTTATTTAGTCTGTTATAATAAAATGCTTTTTGAAAAAAGCATCACAGTGCTTTTATATGTCCTGTCCTATCTGCATAGCACAGAGGGTTTAGTGCTGGCATTGTCAGAGCCCTTCTCCACCTTCCCTGGGCAGGGACCCCGTTGCATCCCAGCACGAGATGAACATTCCAGTATGGCTGCTCCATTTGTGTCACGGGAAAACTCCCACGACACGGCCTGACTCCCTGGGGTATTTCATGGCCCCAAAGTGAGTGGTGTCTCTTCCCTCACAACATACTGGTGCTTTGCAGTTTTTGGTTGCAGTGGTCTATAATGCTTTTAAATCTGTTGTTGAGGTAAACTAGGCAACTATGGCAGGTGGCTTATCACATAGATAGCAGTGTGATATAGCTGCTTGAAATCAAAAAAGCAAACCATTACTGTATTTTGGTATGCAAACGTGAACTTTTAATTATCGGTTCTTGTGAATTTTTCTTTCTTTAGTAGAGCTCCAAAGAGCATATTTTGTTTCCTAAAGGAGTGTGCTTGTTTAAAATGCGAACTGTGATGTTTGGATAGTTTACTACCAGATTGGGCAGTTTTAGATTACATACTCAAAACCCATTTTCTGCTGTGATTTGCTTTTTTATATTGAGTAACTGTTGAAGGATTTACAGGTCTTAATATGGAGGAAGAACTTGGAAAAGGTGATTAGGACATTTTGACCAGTCACAGCCTATCTGTGGCTCTCAAAGCCTTGATTTGCAGGCAGAGCATGGGGCTCCCACACCAACATCACCCCATCTGGCCAGGAGCAGGAGTCTGCTGGAAACCTGGAATGGTTAGTCTAGCTAGTTGCACATCCTCTCCAGCAAATACAAAGTTGCCAGTTTGCTGTAAAACCTCATGCTCTTTTATTTCTGTTCTGCAAAGTTGCTGTGGCATACTTGAGGAATGCCCACCTCTTCCAGCTTGAGAACTTGTCTGAACCTGACATCTTGGAGGTAACTTGGGTTTGTCTTATGTGAAGATTTGGTATAGGTATGTAGCCAGGATAGCTGTTTGTTTGTGTGCTTGATACAAATATCCCTCTTGCTCATTCTGGAATGTGGGCTTTTGTAGAGCTTCCTGCTTTCAAAGCAGAGCAGTGGAAACTGTTCAGACAGTGATATGTCCTCACCCTTGTTTGTATCTAAAATGACCCTAGGCTGGTCTGTTTGAATCTCAAGCTGTAGCAAAAACAGCTAGTTGCCAGGAAAAATACTCTTAAGCCTGTAATTGGGCTGCATAACTGCCAACAAAACAAACATGACTGACAAACTTCGTAATTTATTCCATTCCTGACTTGGTAGTTTTTGTCATCTTGAAACTGTTGTGTTCTTTAACCTTCTGCATTGGGCCTCACCTTCCCAAGTGCCTTTGCTGTGGGGCATATGTCTACCTGGACTTGTCAAATTTTCAAAATGTGAAGGATCTTTTAACTGGCTTATCTTTCTCAGAACAAGAAATGTCCAAGTCTCCCTCGTTATGCTGAGAACATTTTTGTAGCATTCAATGGCAGAGGTGCACCACTCTGATATTGCCTGTGGCAAGTTTTATCCCTAAACTTGGTTCTTGTTCTTTCCTGTTCATCTTTGTTTATGGCAGGGGGGATGTTTTGGTTAAAGCACAATGTATAATAGATTCTTTGTAAATAAGAAAAAAATAGGTACCAAATAATTTACCTGATTGGCATATAAATTCATAAATTGTACCAGAAGAAATTGTAAAGGGCTATGAAGTTCCTTCATGAGTCTTTTACAACTAAATGACGATGATCCTTATTGCTGGATTTATCTGGATAGCAATGCCAAAATTTCTACATCCTGTATGCTCCAACTTTGTTCTGCTCTTCCAATTTCTGGTATTGGTTTTTCAACTAGAATCTTGTTGAGCATAAACTAGAACGTGTCTGGATATTCCAGCCCAAATCATATGCATACCTGTCTTTAAATTAAGTAGTGAAGATAGGCTCTTACTGGATTATTCAAGTGCTTTTGATATTTTACTGCAATTACATTTCAGATTTTGGAAACTTTCGTTTTCTTGGGGAAACTCCCATACCTGCAGCTTCAGTTCTCTGAGTACTTAGGTAAAAGTGTACTAAGTTAACTGCTAGTCAGTCTGACTACTTTAGGGCACTGCTTATCCATATGGGCAACTTAGTCTTCTTATTTTAGGCTGGCAGTTTTTTTCTGAATGTATTCATGAGCAGGAGGTTATGATACAAATCCATCTGGATTTCTTGGATTTGTTAAACTATGAATGGGCAATCTGAACTGAGGCAACAGGTTAAACACCACCAGGAAAAACAACAGGGCTTAGAAGCAGCAAGAAACATGAAAAAGATTACTGAGGCAGTGTTACTCGATTTTGTTCTGGATTTTTAGTCTTAGCCTCTTGTTAGTCCTTAGTATATGCTGATCACACATGCCATTTTCTCATCAAATTTCTTTAACTGAAAGCAAATACAAAACGTGTAGACTGTGAGGAAGCCCCTTTGGAAACACTAAACAAAAATGTTAGCATGTCCAAATTGTCTGTAGCATGGTACAGCCACTAGGGAGAATTTGAGATGTTTTACTGACTGAGTGGGCTGGAAGAAAGCAGGTTGTGTCCCAGTGTGCAAGGATGCAGCTTAAGTAACTCACTGCAGCATTCCCATTGTCATCGTCAGATGCTGTGTCCATAGTGGGAACACTGGCGTTGAACCGGAGTGAGATGACTCATCTCTCCCTTCTGAGCAGAGAAGCAGGGAAGAGCAGGGCAAGTCCTTTCAATAACTGAGCTCTCTACCCTCCTGAGAATTTGCTGTGGAGGGTGAGGCATGGTTTTCAATCATAGCCCACTGACACTGTAAAAAGCCTCTAAGTGCTTAATATAAAACTGCAACACAGCTGCTTAATAGCCCTACCAAAGTGTAAAGCGTCCAAAGAATTGTTAAGACTGCTTAAATTGAGTGATTAAAAGGGTATCTTTCTCATACAAGGTCAAAAATATAAATATTTCTAGTAAAGAGCTGGCAATGTCTTCTAACCAGCCTTTACAGCTGCATAATTTCCTAAAACTTGCAAATGAGCGTGTAGCAGAAAAATTACTCATTTTGATTAGTCTTGTGTCAGACCTTAATACGTGACTGGGTTTTGGGTGCTCATTGTTCCTAGTTCTTCTTAAGAATGGTGTATTTACTGCTTTATTTGTTCTGCAGGCATGCAGTGAGTATTCCCTGGCTCCAGGACAGGGTGCAGTGGTCAGGCTGCAGTGAGAGTGACCTAGGGCAAAGGGGGGATTTGCTGTAAAGGTGAGGTTTTCCCTGGGGAGAACCAGCTGCAGGTGTGGCTCGACCAGTCTAGAGATTCATCTACTGTGCTCAGCTGTGGACAAGTCTGTGTGATTTTGGGGCCAGTGCTTTTTTTTGTTTTCTTTTCCCTCATGTATCCTTGCTAAAGGAAAAGCAGGCAAAGTGAGTTTCAAGCTGTTTGTGTGCACCGGGGCTATTGAATGTGAGCCTGGGCATTGACAGCAGCAAAGCTGCTGTATTTGTGGTTCTCCCATTCAGCTTAGGCCTCCTGTGCCTTGTTTTTGCATCAACAAATTAAGTATGAAGGCAGCGTACATCAACCTCGAAACGGCTAAAAATAAGCTCGGTTATCTGCAGAGAAGGGCAGTGTTCCCTCAGTGATCCCGGCTGCCGTCGGAGCAAGTGGAGATCGATCGATCTAATGTCTGGGCTCGCCTTTCATAAAAGAAGGGCTGTGGCTTTAAGTAATCGCTGGCTGCTTGTGCCAATTGCAGGAGCTGCAGTATCTGCCGCTGTCGGGAGCGCCGGGCGCGGAAGCAGGGTAACCTGCGGAGGCAAGGTCCAGCCTTGTCGCTCGGCCCTGGCCAGACCCGCCCGGCTCGGTGGTGCCGCCGCCACCCGCGCGTCGCCGATGAGGGCCGGGGGGCCGAGCGGGGGGCTGCCGGCGCTGGAAGATGGGCTGCTCTAGCAGCAAGCTGTGCCTGTATTCCCAGTGTGCTGCAGCAAGGGTAATGATGTTTGTTTCGCAGGGAGCCGGCCGGGAGCACGGTGAAGCGCCGGGCGCCCGGACCTTGTCGCCTCCGCGCGTGGTGCGAGGCGGTGACCGCCGGGCCGGAGCGGCTCTGCCGCGGCTGTGCCTGCGCCGCTCCCCGCCGTCATGAGGGGCTGGGGCACAGCGGCCCGGCCTCCTCCTGGCCAGGGCACAGCTCCTGGGAAACGCAGGGAGATGGGTGCTTCTGCTTTGTTATGATCTGTTCACACCTTCCTTATGGTTCTCTTGGTATAAGAAACACCGTCTATCTTAACCTTAGGAACTGCGAGCAGCAGGGTGGGTTGGATTCAACTTCGAACAGGGTTGAAAGCTTCCCTTTTCTTCATGGAAGACTGAGCATGTAGCAAAGTTCTTGGTTTTGTGTTTGAGTAAGCTTAAGATAAATATTTAATGCATGCCTCTTTGACATATACACTATACTTCTGTGCCCTTGACAGCTATCACCTGATTTGTTCTGGAGGCTTATGTTGCTACACCCACCATAAAATATATAATTAATTGCCACAAACTAGGATTTTAATTGCAGAGCTATCCTGGAAAAAGCTGTTCTTTGTTTTAAAGTATAACTTCCTTAACAACAGAACATCTGTGTATATTTTAACAGCTGAACTGTTATCCTAAATGAGTCATATCTTGGCTCCTTGCTCCTGCCTCTTGTTTTTCCTACAGAACACATGTAAGTTAATTACTGGAAGGTGCTGTGCTCAGACCACTAGTAACCAAATGGTTGGGGTTTTTTGTTCTTTTTTCTGCAGAGGGAGGAAGCACTGAAGCAGCGGAAGGAGTTATCTCAAGAACTAGTTAACCTTCGAGGAGAACTAGGTAAGAATTTATTGTTGTATTCTTGCTGAGAACAGAAACGCAGCAAAGCAGATCTGCAGAAGACAGATGCCCTGGTATTGTAATGGCAGTCATTTAATTCCCTGACTGAATTCCGCTCAGATGCTTTAAGTGCTGCGGAGCCCTGACAGCGTGACCTCAGGTTCACCGAATTCCTGGCACTGATATGACTGCGCCTTGCGGGGCCTCCTCACAAAACATGCATCTGATGACCAAAGCACTCACTTCTAAAAAATGGGAGGATGGCTGACAGCATATATTCTTTTGTTTGATCCCAAATGTATTTGTATGCTGTCTTCTAGAGATTTGTGGGCAAAAAATTGCATAAACCTGTAAAAGATACACTGCAAAATCTGCATTTTTGCCTCAGTGACCTCTAGGTAAAAAAGTGTAAAATTAACAGAAGGAAATGCTTTCATGCTGATGAGATTTGAACTCATCCTAGTGGACAGCTATAACATGAAATTGAGCTATAATGTGCAAGGGCTGTTTTTGCCAGCTTCGAAGCTTGATTTAACTACATTTAGTAGTAACTCCATGTAACGTATTTGAACTTAGCAGTTGTTTCAGGCAGGTCTCAGTAGGGACTCGCTTTGAAAGAGCCTGGCCTTCCCCTGCCTTTGCATCTCTCTGTCTCCTTGTGCCAGCATTGCTACTGGGGCAGCCATGCCCTCACTGATGCAGTGAGCTGCCTGGGCACCTAAATCAGCCAAAACTATTGGCTGGTAGTGCTGTTTTGCCAAAGCTGCCTGGCCTGCCTTCATTATGTGACTGAAGGAGCATTGGAACTGGAGCAGAGAATGGGGAAAGAGTAGCAGGGTGCAGGGTTGTGTCCCCCATCAGCTGTAGCTGATGTTTCTATTACACTAAAGTGACAATAGGACTGTTTTTTTAACATGGAAATGGCTTTTTTGCATCACTAAAAAGTTGTGTTATAAACTTTATAAACCATATTTCTTTTTATTTATGTACTTAATGTGATTCTCTGAGCAACCCCATTTGTTTACCTCAAGAAAACAACTTCAGAAGGATTGCTATCAGAGCAAGAAAGTCTCTTTCCTTCTCTGGGCTTGCATCTTCTTGCATCTTCATTCTTATTTTTCCTTTATCAACCTAGGTACTATGTTTATCACTTACCTAGAAAGGGAAAATTCTGCTTAGATGGATAGACCAAAAGCTGGCCAACATTTTTGCCCATTACCATATTTGAGGGTTTTGGTGGAGTTGGGGTTTTTTTGAAAGCTTAGTTCTTTTTAAGGATGCCTCATGCTAAAATGAGCTTTCCAAACTTACTATCTTCCTGCTTTGATTACCAGCCTGCTGAGCTTATAAATGAGACTCCCACTGCAAGCATATGCCATTCAGTAGGTTGATAACTAGAAAAAACTTTAAAATGCAACTGTGCCTGATGGATCTGTGACACCCAAGTGCACAGAGCTCTCAGACAGGGATGCTGGCATGATGTGCTGCTGGCAGCTGTTCCCCTTATGGAGCTGACCTTCCTGGGTCAGTTCTGCAGGAGCATCTGAATGGCAGCCTGAGGCTCACTTCCCTTTGTAAAGTTTCCAGACCATGGTTTCATGAAGCATTTATTTATCTTTATGAAGCTCCTTTGTCTTAACCAGTCACACATCTAGCCTGTCTTTTTAGCTCTCCTCAGTATGTAAAGGGAGTGGATTTAATTACAGAAATTAAAAAAGGTTTTCAGTTCTATCTAGCTTTTAAAAGAGCTGTTTTGTTTTGTTTTTTTTTTAAAGTTAAATTAATAATTTGTTGACAGGGTGTGAGAAAGACATTCTTCTAACAGTAGCTTTAGCTGAAAATAATCTGCTTAAATACATACCTGCTAATCAGCCTTCTACTGACACTGTTAAATGGATACAGCTGAACTTAAGATTTCCATAGACTATTTTAATGTAAATAATGTTTTTATGGATTTTCATTTACAGTATGATCTAAGCATAGGTTTGCTGGGAAAGTTAAGTGCAGTTTGAGTCTTACTTTAGCCATGCAGACCATGTTTTGTGGAGTCCCAGCTGCCACGTTTTTAATGACTGTTGGTTTGCAGTTCAGGGACAGGCAAAGAGAAGAGGAACCAGGTGTGCCCAGCCCAGTGTAACCTGTTTCCCTGCATGCTGCTGAGTTTGAGACACTCCTGCAGCTTGCACAGTTTAGACTTCTCAGTTTTTTACTTTGAAATTTAACTCTGCACATTCCCAAGCTCCTTCACTTACCTTGCAGGACCAAATGGATTTGCTGTCAGATGGTCTGTTTTGCTGGGCTATTGCGTATGACCATTTCTACCAAAATACCTTTTTGTTTAAAGGCTTAAATATGCATTCCTTTCCCAGAATGTGTCTTTGGCTGTCACCATGTGACTGTGCCAGCCATGGGGCTGAGCTTACCAAACAATGCTTTCTGCTCTCAGTAGCTGGAAACATGTGCAAGTATTAGCAGTGATAGGGGTTTGAAGATGGGCTTTTCCAAAGGGAGTTCAAATTCAGTAACAGTCCTGTTCTGAACTTGGGCTTCCTTAAAATCTCCAGCTACAAAGACTAAACTTTGGGATTTGAATGTAAGCACCATAGTTCTGGGAGCCTGGAGCACCTAGGGACGTCCTGATTGTCAACTGTTTCTCTGAAGATGCAAGCTACTGCCTGAACTTCTAGTTACTTGTTTAATTATGTAAATAGAAGTTGCAAGGGCTGCATATTTCTTGAGAGGTACGAAACTATTCCTCTAAATTAATTGCATTCCAGATTGTTTCAGAGCCTCCTTGAAATGGTGCTGGATGTGATCCAGCTCAGTCCTGCTACAAAGCAGCAGGTGCAAAGCTGACTCAGCCTGCACCCACCTTGGCCCTTTCAACATTGCCATTCCTGAGCCTTTCTCTGTGGCCTGGAGAGGTCTGTGTGTATCCTGGACAGGCAGCCAAATGCCAAACCCCTTTTTCTCACCTTCAGATGCTGCATGACAGTTGATAAACTGCATTTTCTTCAGAATAACTTCATGTTCTTTTTTGTTACTATATTATCTTCAAGATGCTTTGGAAGTTCAGATAGAAGAGACAGTTGTGTTTTACAGTGAATGTGATTTGGTTTTCAGGTTAAGGTGATCCTTAAAAATACTTAATAATAGGTAGATGCTTCTTTCACTTATTTGAGATAGGGTCTGACTTGCCACACTTCATACACTTCCCTGTTTGCCTACTTGAACACTCTGTCACTTGTAGTGTTTGCAGTATAGGGGATGTGAATTTACTTCCTGGCAGAGGAGTGAGTGCTTCACATTATTTATTCAATCATACCTGCTTAAATGTTGCTTAAAGCAGGCTTTTTTGGCTATCTGCCTTGTCTAACTTGTCCAAGAACAAAAATATGCAATGTGGTTTAATGTCCTGTATAATTAGTCTCATTATGGAAGTAACACCAAGAGAAACTTGGTCATAAACTTGAAAGCATGTTTGAGTGGAAGAATTTTCAATATTGAGAATCTGTCGATACCATGAATTAATTACTATATACATATAAAAATATATATTGTATAGAGAAGGAAATGGGCAGTCTGTAGTAGACTTACTGGTCATGTGAACATACAGCTTGCAGTGTGAAATGCAAAGTTTGAGCAATTAAGTGTTAGTGCAGTGTAATATCACGTAGTACTCAATACTTGGACTTTTTTTGTGGTAATTATCCCCATTTCACATCCCCCACATCTATAAAAGTGCTGACAGTTTACTGTCCTAGTGAAATCTGGTTTAGAATTTCAGACAGCCTAATGCCTTCTCATAAATCATAACTAGGCCAGTGAGTGACTAGGACAATTTTATTAAGATAACTACTGTTTGCAAACCCTTTAATTTAGGGTTCAAGAAAATCCATTGTACTTTATCTTAGAGCTATGGTTATGGTAGCTTTGAGGGGAGTTTAAATTGAAAAATGTTTTATCTAAGCAGTTTAGCCATAAAGACTAAATTAGATGATGGTTTTATAATTAGAACAAGAAAAAAAAAAGTGAAAGGAGATGCTGCACAATGGTAAGGTCTTATCTCTTGGCTACTTTTAGTGAAAGTACAAAATAGTACTTTCTTGGAGATACAGAGGCAACTTTTGTAGTCCCCTCCTTCAGCTGCAGCAACTGTTGCTGTGGTTTGGATCTGCTGCTGTTTGCACTATTGCAGGGAGTTGCCATGTGCCTGGTTCTCCATGCTGCTCTTGCAGGCATTTGTTTTATGATTTTGGCACTTAAAAAGCTTTGTAGTGAAATACCCAAGATGCAAGTGGCTGATGTTAACTACTACAAATAAAGGGTAATTTTACATGTCAAAACCACAATTTCTGCTCTGAAGATTTTCTGTTATCAAATCTCGGAAACTTTCCATTATTTCTAAAGGTCGTGGTTGGGCCCAAAAGAACTGGGCTCTTCATTTATAATGAAAGGTGTTAAGAAGGCTAAAGATACAGATTAACCTTGCTCTGTGTTGTACTAATATAGGGAGAGACAGTTGTATGATTGGGAAGAGAGGCTGGGACAACCAAGTGGAGGAGAAATGAATAGTTCGTATTTTCATCTCTGTGGCTTGACTTTTCCCTGAAATGCTGTTGGACCATTTGTTTCTTGTTGGATTTTTTTTTTTTTCCCTCAAGGTTTGTGGTCTAGAGGAGATGTGGAGTTGTGGAGGAAAACACTTCAAGGAGGAAAAGGAAACAGAGTAGTAGTGTACAAAAACTGTGAAGTATGCACTTCAGGTATCTCTGAAGTGGATGAGAAGTTGAAATAGATTTGTGTGTTTGCTACGGGAAGAGCACATGTTCCAGTTACATTCCAGTTACAAATTTTTCTTCAAAGTTTAACATGAGTTTAGTGAGAATACTCCTCAGCTAAGTAGCAATCATGTTTGGTTAATCAGTGGCTAAATGACCAACCAAATTAAGAAAGTTGGGAGAAATCATGAAAAATGCAACTTTCTTGAAAAAAGCAGAGCAGTGATAAAGTACATGATTCAGTCTGCAGATGGATAGGGCTGTGCAAAATACTTGCTGCAGACATTTCAATTTCAAGTATTTAGACAAGCTTTGGTTTATGGGACATCTCATAATTTCAAATTAACAATTCTTTAGTTGGTGTTTTTGCTGAAGCCTTACGTGGTCAGTTTCCTGCACCACCACGATACTGGGAGCTCACTGGTGGTGCAGTAGTTCTGCTTCTTGTTTGGATGACAGGAATTGAAGTCAGACGTGTGATCTGCAAGGAAGAGTTGCAGCCTCCAGCTTTGTGGAGGCCAGAGTTGCCTTTATGGTAACAACTTTTAATTGCCACTGCAAGTTTTAAGAGTTTTTTGTTTGCCTTTGTAGCATTAGTCTTCTCATAAATTTGAATTGCAAACTGCCTGAAGGAGAACTGATGCGTCTGTTTTCTTTGACAAAGGCGTGGTTTGCTATTTGCTTTTTTTTGAAGTGCTTTGCATCATCTGAAGTTCTGCGTGCTGACATTTAAAGATAAGGCAACGATAGGCAGCACATTCTTCTGGCTAACTGGAGGCAAATTAATAGCTCTGGACTTGCAAATAAGGAATTTGACGCTTCTTCCTCTGTTACTTTTGAATTAAGTGGATCATTTGAAGCATTTTGCTGCAGTTACTTCAACTGAGCCATGCAAGTTGCCTGCCTCTCAGCTATGCCCTTACTCTACTATAGAAGGTCAGCTCCATCTGCATGTGGTTGGCTGTGTCATATCTCCATTTGGTTTGCTGTCTGGCTCTTGGCAATGTAAAATAATGTCCCCGAACAATGATGTTACCTCTTCTCTAAAAATGTTGCAATGTAGAGTATATATATTCAGAAACTTCATGTCACTGCAATGTGATAGAAGTGTGAAAGCTAATTTTTTTTCTCCCTTTCCCTAAGGGAGCAGTTTTAAGAGAAGTTTGTGGAAGGAATAAAGATAGGGGACTAAAAACTTCTTTTGGTGCTGGTGCAGAAAGTAGCAAAAACTGTGAAATTTGTTTGAGTTACAGAGAATGTTGTGGTAGGTTTCAGCTGAGCCTCTGTTGCATCGTTGCCAGTCAGAGAATGAAGAGCTTGGCCTAAATCTGTCCAGATCAGCAGATCTTTCGCACAGACCCCACATAGCTAAGCTTGCTGTTAAGCCTAATTCAGGTAGACATACATGCAGATTGATTTCCGTGCAGTACAGCTCACTCTCTTAACACTTTCTAGTTCCACTGCAGGTTCAAAGTGATGCTAGCAGGGCCAAGACTCTTTACAGTTCCCTTAAAAGAGAGTGAAGTATCATCCAGCAAGTTACTCACGTGATTTTAATGAGCTATAGCAGAGTAAGACACATGTAACTTGAGACACTCTGCTGGGGCAGGCTGCTTTCCCTTGAACTGACCCATTACTTCTTTGGGAATGAGTCCTTGAAGATTCTGTAATTTATTTATCTTAAGGCTCAAGCACAGCTGTGATGAGAATTTCCTGTACTGCCTGTACAAAAATCCTTGCCTCTTCCCATGCTTTTACATAGAGTTTAAATTTACACTGTATGGGCAGTGTGCCAGTCTGCTGTGAAGTGCATGCATGCATGATTTCTCCTGCCTTTGAAGATCAAGTTAACATTTTAGTTGATTTTTCTCTTGAGCAGCCACTCATCTGACTAATTTATTTTAAACCATAGTACTAGAGTCTGTACAGAACCAGTTTTGCTCAAGGTCAGTGACCACACACTTGTGTTAGAGATGCTGTTTCACCTTGGTTCCAGGCTTTGGGTGCAGCTGGAACTACATAAGGCGTTTGCTGCAGCCATATTAACAGTAGCAGGATGACTCCTATTCAGGCCTGGCTGTCTGGACTTGGGAATGCTAAATTTCAAACTCAAAAATGCAAGCTGCCAACTTCTGTTTTGCCTTTCAACCAGCTGCAGATATGGGGAGACAAACTTAGGCAGCCTTCTTAGCAGGCCTGTGTTAATGCAAATGTAAAGACAACTGCACAGCATTTTTCTTTTCTTAATATTCTGCACTTTTTGCCTAAAACTATTCTCTGTCTTGCATATTTAGATATCTCAGGCATAAACACATGAGCAGTAGCTTTCAGATTGGCAGATCTGTATCAGGCCGTCCACATCAGGCTAGAATTACTTCTTTGCTGTATATCTGAGTGTGGGTGTCATTAAACATAGTTTTCTGGATAAGACTTTCAAATTTAGCTAGGTGGTTTATATGTCAAAAAGTGAAGTACTCCGACAAATACTCTACTGAAATGGGATCAAATAAGGTAAAGTAGCAAATGCAATTAATTTTTCTATTGGAGCTCTTCAGTGTCTCTCATGAGACGTTCCTTCTTCCATGTCATGTCAATCTGTCACACTTGTGCTTTTTATGTGGGCTCCTGGCTTAACTGGTTTCAATTAATTCAGCCTAAGAAACATGAAATTTGATATTTTTGTGAAGATTTTTTCATGTGCCCTTGGAGGCACACATTTAATGGATAAATTACATTTATCTTTGTATATAACCATGTTGCTGTGCAGTGTGCTCACTGTTTTTAATACATGTAAATGAAGGTGTGACTTTAGTATTGAACTTGATCCATTTTTTTTTTTATTTTTTTTTTTCTTTTGACATCTTCAGTAACCACTTCTGCAGCTTGTGAGAAATTGGAAAGAGACAGGAATGAACTTCAAATTGCCTATGAAGGGTTTTTGCAGAAGTTAAACCAGCAACATCATGATGATTTAGCTGAGCTGGAGGAGAGGCTTAAACAATTTTACACTGCAGAATGTGAGAAACTCCAAAGTATCTGCATTGAGGAAGCTGAAAAGTACAAAGCTCAACTCCAGGAGCAGGTTTGTAACACTCAAAGTAGAAAAGTTCTCTAGAAACTGATTTCTGTTAATAACAGTTATTTTATTTAATGTGAAATTCCACTTCATTGGAATTTCACAGCAATAAAAATTTTGCAGCAATAAAAATAATAACCACATTAAGCTGTACAGATCTTAAAATGTGGTGGAGATTGGCTGTGTTCTGCCAGCTTAAGTGATTTCTAGGGCTCCATGGGATATTGAGGCAGCTTGAGTTTTAAGATTTACAGAAACACACCTGCCCTCTGACCTTGCTTTGCAACTCCATGTGTGTTACAGATGTACATGTTATCCTGTTGGTAGTGGTAAACTTTAAGACATCAGTCTCATTTATTAAGTCTTGTACATGGCTTAGCTTCTACTTTTGAATCCTGCTAGACCATTTAAAATGTACTTGACATAGTGCATGAAGCCATTGAAGCAATGCTTTAAACAAGGGTTAAGTTGATACAGATAAGGGGAGAAAAATCATGTTGTCATATTGCAGGTGGACAATTTAAATACCACACATGAAAGCTTTAAGCTGGAACTCGAAAACAGACACTCAGAAAAAGTAGAGGAGCTGAAAAAGGAGTATGAATCCTCTTTTTCAGGCAAGTATTTTGTATTTAAGTACATATGCTACATATGCTATAGCATGCTAGTCAAAAACAAAAATATTCAGGCTTTTTGATCATTATGTCACCTTCACTGTTCTTTGTGGACAGCTATCTTTCAAAAATATTGGCTGAATTCCTTCCTTTGGAACTGACAAGTCTTACTTTACATACAACAAAAAACATGATCCCATTGTATTTGAATGAAACTTTATAAATAGTTTGAGGGCAAGTGACTTTTCCTTGCAGTAAAAGATACCTGAATTGCCCTCAAAACCCCAACTGACTGAATTTCTCCAACCTCTAGTTCCGTAAGGAGCACCTCAGAACTGAAAATGAGGATAAGTAAGGCTGTGTGCTTTCCATAATGACATGGAAATGTTACGAAATATTACATACTGTGCACAGTACACTGTGGCAGTGGTGTTTTTCAGGGAGGGGATGGTGATGTGCTCAGGTTTAAATTACATTGCATCTCATTGATTTAAGTGATGATGATTTCTATCCTCCTTCCAACTCCACTCAAGTTTCCAGTGATAATTTTGTGTCTTGAAGCCTGGTCATGCTTCTGCTGCTTTCAAAGAGCAAGCTCTTCTGCATGGTATCCAAAAAGGATAAATGAAAAGGAAATGTTTGTCTAGAAGTTTGTGGAAGACACAGTTTCAATTTTTGCTGTGTTTCCTTCCATAAACTCAACTTTTGGCCTGTGCTTAGTAAGTCCATTTGTTGCATGCAGATGAATGCAAAACTGACAGGAAGTTTGCCAATGAAATGGATATGCAAGGGGAGAATCAGCAAATCTGAAGTGGGAATAAATCTGATACTTCATACATGCTTTGCATTCAGCTAATGATAAATGTTCTTCCTGTGTTGCCATCTACTGTATCTATGCATATATATGTAGGCTGGCTCTTCAGGCTGGTTTATTTCAAAAAGAATTTTCATGTCTTATGTGGTATTAAAAATCTGCAAAAATAATTTTTTTTTTAGAGCTCAAGAGTACCCATGAATCTGAAAGGAAGTCACTTGAAGATTCCTTTAAAGAGAAACAGGAATTGCTGGAGGTTTGTTAAGGGCTGGGTTCCAACAGTTTGAAACCTGAAAAGAAGTTTGGAGATGTGCACTGAATTTTTGACCTAACAATACAATATATTTGCATTTCAGAAAAAAATCGATGAACTAAAAACTGAAAACAACTCACTGAGTGAGAAGCTGAAATTAGAAGAACAAAAACAAATAGCCAAAGAAAAAGCCAATCTTGTAAGTCTTGATCTTCCAAAATAATGTGGATGAACAGATCTTGCCTAGGTTTATCTTGCTGCATAATGCAAAAGATTTGCAGTGAAGCCTGATAGGGCTCCCATATTTAGTAATATTTTTTTGTAAATGGCTCACCTGCCAGAAGTTTTTTGCAAGCACTGTGATGCTGTGTATTAACTTTACCTTTGTAATTCTAGAAAGCTGTTGAGTATCTAAGTTGAGGTGTAGATAATAGCCTAAGCCAAACTGAAGATCCATGTGTGTACAGGAGTTGTACCACAGCATTTTTCTGGACAGTCGGTACTGTCTGTCTGTTGTACCAGTGCTATGATCAGTGTGAGCTTCCATCACTACTGCAAAGCTCATTTCTAATACATTTATTCAAATGTTGATTCATACTTTTTGCTGATTTATCCTTCAAAGAAACTTTCCTTCTGTCCTGCCTTTCTTCCCAAGGCTGCTGTTGCTTCTGATGCTTCTGGGATAGGAATCTGTTTTGAGAGAGGGTTTTTTTATGCACTGGGTGGGGGGGTCAGACACAAACATGATTATTTCTCTGGTTACCCAGAAGTAAGCAGAATACCAGTAGTATTACTTATTCCACAAAGAGAAATTTCATGCTCATAGGATGCCTCTAGTGGAAGTTGTCCAGTTTTCAGTGGAGATTGTTTTGTTATGTTTTCTCTTATTGCTTATTCTAGTGGCAGGACAGAGTTCCCACAAGAAGAATCTGCAGGCACAATATGTTGCTGTGGCAGTGGGAGTTTGAACTGTAATTCCACAGGCACACTCAGATGTTGCTTAAATTAAAGGAGCAATAGCCAAGTGCCTTCATATAGCTGCAAATATGTGCTTCCCTGACAGTGTAAGATGCATGATAAGCTTGAGACTTCTCTTTGGAAAAGCACCAGTTTGACTCAGACTCTTCTGTACTAAAGACAAATTCTGCAGTATCGGAATTCCCAATAGTCCTTTGAAGACAGAGATGTATTTCCACCTCTCTGGTATCATATAGATAGTGTCACTTGATATTCCCAGGTTTTTTGCTAAAATCTTACGTAGGACTTGCAGACTTTTTATTTGACTGTGTTCTCCTCTTAATACTTAATGTGGGAGGCTCAGACTTAACTTTAAAAACACATTTTAAGGCCATTGGACTTGAGGAGGGAAACAAAATTAATTGAATATTGAACATACTGTAAGCTACATTTTAACTTTTCAGGACTGCTTTTCTTGTTAGCTCATACATTTCATGTTTAAGTCATAGAACAGAAACACATTGTCTGCTGTCTTCACTGAGGCAGCACTGCATGCTTTGCCCTCACACAGACTTCTCAGAAGAAGTTAAACAAGAACCACTAATGCAACAGGCCTTAAAAACTAGCAGGAGCATGAACTGCGTAGGTGATGGAGCCCCTATTACCTGTGACATGTCCTGGCCCTGTCCTTCTGGGACCACACCCCACAAAACTGCAGGCATTGCCCTCCTGTCCGAGGTTTCTGGTGTGGCAGTGAAGCTGTTACTCAGTGCAGTGCACCTGTGTTTCTTACCCAAATGCACTAAAACAAGTTTTGTTTGATTTTGGAGATAAATGTAATTACACAACATGCTTAATCATTTATAGATTTCAGCTCTTGTTCCAATCTCACTACCTGGAAATGGACTAAGACTTGCTTTATTTGTTCTTTTTTTGGCTGTGACCACCTTGAAATGCAGAGAATGTGTTTTAGTCTGCAGTGTTTGAATGGTTTCATACTCTGGAAAACAGGTCCTTGAGGAAACCACATCTTTCCTTGCTCTGGCCTCCTCCTGCTCTCCCTTCCAGCTCCAGAAAACAACAGAATAAGTAAAAATAAAAAAAGTCCTAATTTGCCATATTCTAGATAAGTCATGGATGTGCACCAGTGCAAGATTTATATGTATAGTTGCATTTTCAGGCTTTAGAAGAATGTAAACCCAAAAACTTTCTGCTACCTTCAGACTCAAACCAGGGAAGATAAGCTACAGTCGAGTTCAGAACTTAAACTTCTGGTGCTTTTTTGAACTCAAACACTTCAAATGTTTACTCTAATTATCTTTTGGGATGGGTTATGAGTAATATGAAATAAATTTTGGAACTCCTAGCCTTAAGGCCTTTGGGCACTCCTGTGAAACAAGTTTTGCTGTGACAGCATTCATGCCTTCCTTTGATTCACAAGGGTTTTTCATGTCTGTGCAGTGTTTTCTGAACAGCTTCTAATGAAGCAACTGCAACTGTCCACCTACCCTGAAGGAAAAACAAAAACTGAGGAGAAAGTGATATCAGATCTGGTTATTTTAGTGTTTGACTTGATTTCACTTAGAACAAGTAACTTTTTACTGTAATTATTTTATTGTTTTTTCCAAATAGCAGAGAAACATCTAAATTATCCCTGAAATTCAGGCTACTAAGCAAACTCTCTGGCAATCTTTCAGAAAAACCCACAGATTATGTACCTGGAACAAGAGCTAGAAAGTTTGAAAGCAGTGCTGGAGATCAAGAATGAGAAACTCCATCAGCAGGATATAAAGCTAATGAAGATGGAAAAGCTGGTGAGTGTTCCTTGCGGTCTGGCAGGCTGGGGCTGTGTCTCTGACTTGTGTTCCTATAACAAACTTGGGCCAGACAGACTTACATGCAAGAATTAATCTTTTTTGTTTAAAAGGAAACAGGAATTCATGATGGGACATGCTCACATTGCAGGTTCAGCTTATATGTCAAGAGGGGAAAAGAATGACTCGATGCTCTAAATGACCTTTTAACATCTTAAGCCAACTACTTGTTTGCATAAACTATTGCTGTGTTAGTACAGATTATCTGGGAGCCTTTCCCCTCAAAGAACAAAATCATTACCTGCTACATTGCTCAAGTGGTATGGAAGATAGATTGCAGTGTCAGGAAAACGTTAACAAGGAAATGATCCTAATTTAACAAGAAGGGATCAAATATGAACTGGAGTATGTCTTGATTAGCCTAGGCCAATCATTTTAGCTGTTAAGCTGCTTGTTTAGCTGTGTGGCTGTCTTCCTGACCTGTGTGTAATTCCACATGGAAAGTCAATTTTGGAGGCAGGACTTGTAATCACTTAGCAGGCTCTTATTTGTGACAGGACAGGGTCCTTCTCCTGGGTGGGGCCTTTGAACACTGTTGTAATATTTGCTTAAGTAAGGCTTTAATGAGGAAGTATAGAAAGAGGTCTGGATACAAAGGAAAGCATTTATGCCAGTTGCTTAGTATTGTGCAACAGTGTATGTTACATTAGTCTACAATTACTAGCAAATTACTAGCAAACCTTCATCTTTTTCAATAGACATTGGCCACAGTATAGAAGGCCTTGGACCATCTAACCACTTAATCAGTTTTTCCTTTTATTTTTGATAATGACCTCCAGCAACGACATGGAATCAGAAGAGAAATAGGGAAAGCTGTTTACTCAGGGAAACTCTTGAATTTGTCTTGTTATTTCTAGCCAGTCTTCTGTCTAGAAAGGTGCTACAGTGTCTAAAACTGCTGCCCATCACTGGCAGAAGTTACTGGAATGTGCTGGTTAACAGCAGATCCCTTATCCAGTCCTCCTTGTTGGCATCTAATCAGCACAAGTGGCCAATTGGCAGTTTTATGCAAGGATAAGGTAGGTAGGATGTTTTTGTATGTAATGTAACAAGCTCTGCAAACTCCAGATTGCCAACATTTATGATAGCTCAGTCAGAATCTTGAGTGCACGTGTGGGTTTTATTTCAAATTGTGACCTTCTTTCCAAGGTGGAGAACAACACAATCTTAATGGATAAATTAAAGAAGGTTCAGCAAGAAAATGAAGAATTAAAAGCTCGGATGGACAAACACATGGAGCTTTCAAGGTGAAAAATAATCTGTGGACATTCAGATGTCCTTAATCAGGGGGAAGGGGTTCCTGTAACAAGAAAGAAATTTCTGCTGAAGTATTGGTGAATGCGGTTTTGTAGTACTCTGTGAAAGAACACATCCATTTCTTCCCCACATATCTCTACAAATTCCCTGCATTCCTTTGTAGAGTAACAAGCAGTTAATCCATTTTGAAAGGTGGTAAAATATGTTCTTCAGCACTCCAGTATTTTAGGGAAGAAAAAGCAACTCAGAAATACCATCATACAAAGATTGTCCCTTTTAAGTACTACTGGCTTGTAAGCTAGACCTGAGTCATACTTAGAACCACTTCAGTGAGTAATTTGTCCCCAGTTAATATCAGTGTGGTTTCTTTAGCAATAACAGTAATATTTAACATCAATAAAACAAGTCTGAGGTCCTCCTAACAGTTGCTTAAATGGATGGCCAGACTCTTCAAGTGTGAAGGGATCTGTAGCTTCTGTCTTGAGCTAAGCCTGCACAAAGACCCACAGGCTCCAGCAAAGCTGTTTAAAAGCATGTGTTAAGCAGGACATGCCTCACTTTTCAGAAGCTTTTTCTGGCCCTTAGGGATGTTACTTACTGGGACTTTCTCCTGCTTTCTGCAAGCTACCAGTTCAAATGCAGCTAAGATGAAAACATGCTCAGTCCTTCTATTAAAGCTGGAATTCAGTTGTGAGCCAGGGAAAGGTTTATGCACTTTCAGACCTTTCTTTACATTTCAATACTGCGGCTTCCAAGTTGGGTTATGAGTTCTGATGTAAATCTTCTATTTGCAGGCAACTTTCTACAGAGCAAGCTGTTTTACAGGAGTCACTAGAGAAAGAATCAAAAGTAAACAAACGCCTGTCAATGGAAAATGAAGAACTTTTGTGGAAGTTGCACAATGGTGACCTATGCAGCCCAAGAAAACTGTCTCCCAGTTCTTCATCTGTGCCTCTTCAGTCCCCACGGAATTCTGGTAACTTCTCCAGTCCTGCAGTGTCACCAAGATGACATCTCTTGAGAGAAAGAGGGGCCTGCATTTAATTTCTGATCTGCAGAACCTTTCCTAACTTTAATCAGAGGAGAAAGAGCTATATTAGCCACCTAAGACAACAAAACATAACTGGAAACTATTTGGTGCAAAAACAGCGATAGGAGACTGTGAATATAGGAGTAAGACATTCACTCCTCCCAAAAAGACTTATGACCTCTATGGACATCGTTGCACAAAGCACTTATAGAGCGAGAAAAGACTTGTTTGTTGCCTTCTCACCTAACCATAAGAAGCTCAGGGGCTTAAAGATCACAACCTTTATAATATGTTCCTTATCATCGACACTTTTTTAAGGCTGTGTGTGCGTGTGTGCGTGTGCCGTGGATGGAATGGGTGTAACACACTGTGCGTGTGTCTAATGCTGCCTTCTTTGCTGTGTACGTAATAAAGGATAAAAGCTGAAGAACATTGACATGTACTTCCTTGATACTGCTCTCAGTATGCATGCTTAACAGAGTACCCTTGCCTGGGAATGAGGAGAAACTGCCACTGGTACTGTAGGCTAGTTCCCTTCATCATTCTGGCTGGTAAAAAAATGGCATGAAGACTTTTCAGCTGACTCATTAGTGTCCTGGCCAACCCCAGTATGCAACTTTAATTTTAAAAACAAAATGAATTGGAGCCATATATTGCATGGGTTCTTGGTTTCATGTCCATGCACAACCCTGCCATTTATGGGAACTTTTTTGCAGGGTGCAATGGATTTTGGATTTCAAGTCAATAGGGTTGTAGTCAGAAACACAGTAGCCCTCAAGGTCAGAAGTTCTTAGCCGAGTTGCATATTTAGAAGCCTAGACCTAGCATCTTACCTACTGAAAAGGAAGCACTAATTTCCTGAAAATAGCACATCTGTTCCTGAGGATAAACAAGATGTGGATTTGAAAGCCAAAGAGAAAAATGCAATAATTGTAACTAGGTGCATTCTTAATTAATTTCTCAAGAAGATTAAGTAATTTGTGAATTCCAATGTAGCTGGTGACACACTCTGCCTTTTTAAGCATTAGCATTTGTATTAACTTTCCTCAGGGCTGGCTAAATTCACCTGAGGATGAGGTGGTATCTGTGTTTATCTTGCTAATTCTGCCATATTTTCCCTCTTAGACTGCAGGATATTGGTGTTTTGGCAGTTCATCAGGTGAAAAGTCCTGTACCAGAGATTCTGTAGAGTAGGTGAAAAAGTTGTCCTGGCTGCTGGAACTGGAGGATGAGGGTTTTTTCAGCATTTCTGGAAATATCACATGCTGAGTTTCAGCTTCAAAGGATAATTGGACAGCCTTGCTCCACCCTTGATCACACCTGTTTAAGATGACTGCTCTGTACCTACTAAACCAGGTTTGGCTTCAGATTAGTCTTAAAAAATACTACTGCTGCTTACAGTAGCTTGGGCTTCACAGCAGGGCCGGGACATTGTTACACTGCTGGTTAGCTAATGCTGGTAGCTGGCTGAATTTCCCTGTCTTTTTCAGTAGCTCGGGGACAGGAATCAAGGGCATGGGAAAGCATTTAGGAAACAACTGGAGAACCACTTCAAACTATTCTACCTTGCAAATTCTTGGCTAGTAATGAGGAACACAGACATAGAAACAAGACTGTTAACAGTGCTCATGCAGTAAGTAAATTTGTAATATATTTAAACTTGTGATTGACTGTTTCATCATTAAATTTACTTAAACCTCTCATAATGTACAAGTTAAGGGTGCCATTTCTATGGAACATTATGCTTTCTTTTAATCCTTTTTAGGGCACTGTACATACCACTTACTAGTGGTGTCAGTACTTAAAATGTTTACTAGGAGGTTCCAATTTAACTATGAAAATCCTATGTAGGCTACAACTTGGCTTTAAATGTCTTGGAACATTCTTACTTTCTATGGTCAAAGAGATTTGATGGCATGTATTTGAGCTGAATGCTTTACAATAAATTTTTTGTACCAACTGAAGGATTTTTCTTCTGCTTGTTTTAGTCAAAGAATCTTTAAGGAGGAACATTTTTTCACTTACTAAAAAACTTTTAGTATCTGTTCAGCACAGCAAAACAGCAATGATGAAGCTTCATGGCATAAATTATTAGAGTATTAGAAAAATTTTCCCTTGTTATTCCACTTGTAGGTAGAAGATAAAGGTATATGGAGACAAAGAAAAATGGAGCTTGCTTGTGATTCTTGAGAACATTCTGCATGTGAGAAAAGCCACAGGTAGAAGTTAGCAGTATAGAAGGTCTGTCACAAGGACACTTGCCTAGCCACCAGTAAGAACTTTATTACTTTAGTTGCAGTGTAATTCCTTGAATAAAACATGCTAAGTAGAGTGCACACAAATGTTTGAAGGTCAAATATGGCATTGTCTGTGTAGCAAGAGCAGGGAAAGCTTTTCCAGGCTACCAAACAGGAAAGTAAGTATGGTAGAGTAGGTAATAATACAAAGACTGTTAATTTGTTGATAATTTACCTCCACAATACAGGAGACTCTTCATATCTAAACTGCTTGGAAGTAGACTCTTTAATGCTTTTATGAAGAAATGAAGACTGCTTGTATGTAGAAATCAGACTACAGAAATACCTGTTTAGTGTTTGTCCTGTTGGTCTCAACAAATTAAATAATTCTGCTAATCTGTAAATACTGTTTCAATGTTTTTCTCTGTTGAGTATTAGTATTTCAATCTTTAACTTAAGTACCATGTGTTAGTAAAGGCTTTATTCAATCCAGTAACTGTTACATATTTTGGGGTTTTTTTCTTTAGCATAATGTTTCCTTCAGGAAAAGCTAGAAACCTGCTCACCATCATCATAAGCCAAAGGTCAAGCAGTTGAACAAGTGATTTTCTTCAGATATTCGACTTTACTCTCAGTTCCAACTCTAATGATAAGTTTCAGAGTGAACATTTAACGGTGACATTTAACAGCTGCACCATATTGTTTGTTGCCATTCAAACTATTCAGAGTATGGTTCACCTTCAATACTTTTCTCTAAAGGTCATTCTATGAGTTGCACTGTATTTTCTATAAAATTTGAGGTGAATCATTTCCTTGAGCTAACTGGAGACTTGATGTTTTTCATTACTAACACCAAAGACACTTCCATGTAAACTAGTATCATGCAATTCATGCAGGAAATTCCTTCTAGACAATAACCAACCACTGATCTTGTCTGACAGCCAGGAAATCATTTAGGGCTGAGCTGCAGCTAAAAAGGTCATCATAAAGTTGGGATAACCACTGAACCCTTAAGGAAAAAAAACCTGACCATCACTGCTTGCTTTAGAAGAGCAGTGACACAGGTATGGAAATGGAAATAACAGCACTGGCAGCTTTAGGCATGTAACTTTGACAAGTCACTTAAATTTTATTTCCAGGGCTTCATTCTCTTACCCTGTCACTGTTCATTTAGGTGGAAATGTGCAATTAACTACATCAATGTAACATCAGCTCTGCCCAGGAGGCTTTTGGTAAAATAAAAACTATGTAAAATATGTATTAAAAGAATTCTCATAGTTTTCAATTACCAGAATTACTTTGATGCTCGGTGGGAGGACAAGGACAGAAACGATGGACAGGACATGACACCCACCAAAACTCTTCTGTATCAGTTTTGAGACCTGCAAATGATGGTTACACATAACCATTACACCTCAGGGGAATACTCATGCAATGGATTTACAGCATCTTTTCCTCTCCTGCCAAACTATCATCAAGGAAGCGCTGCATCAACTGTGCTGCTGAACAAGTGTGGGCAGATGACATGATCTCCCACTTCCCAGACACTTTGAAGGAAATCAATTGTTGAAGTACAAGCTCAAATGCACTTTGAAATTCAAAAAGCTGCCACAACTCCTTTAATTGAAAGGGGAAGACATTGTTCTGAGAAATTAAAATGCTAAAAAGGAATTAGCACATTGCACAGCTTTATCTGGAAGCTCTAGAATTGTTAATTTGGTCAGAATAAAAAAAGAACACACACATGGTACAAGAACATCTTTTTTCTCTAAAAAAATGGCACAAAGACCTTTTTTAGGTATTACTATGAAATTGTAAAACCTATTTAGTCCTTTGGATTACAGTGTAATGTTCTTGATACATTTTACCAGACAAACCTTACCTCTTACACCTTCAAAGTTAGTTCTGCTGCATGCTGTTTTAATTTTTTTTTTTAAATATCTTAATTTTCAGAGGCCAGAGACAAATAAAGGTCTTGGCGATTGTTCTCGATGTAGCCTATTACGTGCATGGAACCATTTCAGTCTTTACCATGGGTATTTCTCTTAACAGTTACATTGATTTAGGTTCCTGCATGCTGAAGAAAAAGTATTCAGCAAGTTTGTTTCATGTTTTCATTAGCTACACTACTAATCAGATCATTGATTTTATTGGGAAGCTGCCATTTTTACATTAGCACTTAGAGTTATCACTATTCCAAACAGGGCTGTGTACACATCTGCTCAGAGGTCTGAATTATCTGGAGCACAGGGCTACCTCAGGCCTTCAGAAGAAGAAAGCTTTAGAAATTCCAGTCAAATGAAGTGTGTGAGCAAGGGACCAGTTCCTGCTTTGCTTCCTTGTCTGTTCAGAATAAGTGAGTTTTCACTTGCCTTGTAAATAAAATGGCTTGCATTAAATTTGTTTTTGTCATTTCACTACTAAAGGGTAGATTTGTACTGGAAGTTCTAGCCCGCATAAAGTTGATGCTTGAGACTAAGAAAAACATTGCCAAAATGTCCAACAATGTTGTTACCAAGTTCTTTCCTTGTACTGGTAACTGAATCCAGGGTGAGAGAAGCAGTGGCTTATTTAACCAGGTATAGTTCTGTGTAAATGTAAATATCTTTCCTTTTCTCCTAAGTAAATTAATACAATGAAGTTGAACTTATTAACCTAAGAAGAAATTCTGCTGTAAAACTGAACATTATTCTAATGTTTGCTTTTTTGCTTTTTTTTTTTCTGTAAACATTATTATATAAATAAATGCAAGTTTTACCTATAGCAACCATAATGTGCTACATAATTTACTAAGAGGAACACCAGACATCTACTGAGGAGTGAACTACTAAGTAAGCTACATATTAAAGTAAGGTTGTAAGAATGCAACAACATAAGGAAAATCCACCATTCCCAACTGCTTACAAGTCTCTGGAGATATTAAATATATATGAAGGTGCTAGAGGGAATTAATCTTCACCAGGAGAGAAAATTTTGTGTTTGTTTTTACACATATATGAAAATGAGCACACACACATTTATGTTTTTATAATGTTCAGAAATTTAATTATTCTTGCAAAATAAACAACTGCTATTGGTTAACTTTGCTACAAGGCTTTTTTAATTTGCTTTTTAGTTGTTGTTTTAAACATGTACAGCACTCTTAAAATTGCATGTTCCACACAGCGGGTTGACCTCATGCAAGAGTCTGAGGGAAAGACTATATGCTGAAAGAAAAGCTGAAAGAGCACCTGTTTCTAAATATGCACACGCCCTATACATGTTCAGACTTAAACTTTCATGCTTCATAGTAGTTTCATTAACTCACAACTGACTACTGCTGGACAGAGTAAACTCTGTTGTGGCCTGTCAAACTAGTCAACATGCAATGCATTGACATATAAAAGAAACAGTGAGTGAGAAGCTATATTTAAACCGTAATAAAGAAAATTAATTGCTGTAATGTCAAATAACAGAGGCCAGTCCACATCCAGAAGTCTTTTCTATCACTTCAGTTCAACTTTGGTAGCTACTGTTGTTTCTCCTTGTAGGTTCTGAGCTATACAAACATAGTTTCCCACATCTATGTCTTCAAAATCCTCCACAAGAAGAACACTCTTTGAGATTCTTGTAGTATGTCCAATTCCTCTGTTTATCAATCTCCAGAAGTTTTGAATAATCACAGGCCTCCCGGACTGTTAAACAAACAAAAACAACCCACCCACATAAAACAGGCGATTCCACAAAGTGTATTTAGTGACACCACCCCATCACCCTGAAGCAAGAGGCTGGAGAGTAGAAGCCTATATCCAAAAGTCAGCCCTAAGTAGGGAACTGAAGGTGTCTGGTAGTGGCAGCGACATTCCTGCATCAAATACTGATGTACCAATAAGCTATGCCAAATAAGGATAATACAATGGCTCTTCACTCCAAGCACAGGTACTGGAGTGTGTGAGCTCAGTTTTAGGCCACTTGCTAAGGTTGCATTTGGGTACCTGATCAAATAGGTGAGATATCCTGGGGAAGGTGTCAGGAGATGTGTGAGCTCATTTTCAGACTTCAAGCATGTCTCAAAAAGAAGGCAGCAGTGGCATGAGTTAGCTGACTGAGCTTTCATTCTCTTTTAGCACAGTGAATAGCTGTAAGTCACATGTTGAAAACTAATTCCTTCTCTAGTTTTAGAAAACACTACATTACATAACATATAAACAGTAACAATCCTCACATTCTGCTTTCAAAAATGTATCTGTAACTTCAAAGCAAAAAATACAACCCCCCAATGTTAATATCACAAAATGGTGGGTTTTTCTGGGGGGTGGTTGGTTTGTTTGGGGTTTTTTTGTTATTAAATAAAAGGATTTTTTTTTTTTTTTTTTTTTAAATTCTATAAGGGAGTTCTCTAATGGGCTGGTTATAAGGACACACTGCCTCATTGCTTGGCACCTCAGAAGGTCACAAAATACTGGATAAGAGAAATTGGCCCAATGATAGACTAAAGCAGTCTCTTTTCTTCCAAAATCCAGCAGCTGCTAGTCAGCTTTAAGCACACTGGCTTCTGCTATAGCAATAACTGGGATAAAAATGCAAGAGAGAGGATTCTGAGTGGAAACTATCTTCCCTCGGTTCATGAGATAGATTAACCATTTACCAGTATGAATGCTACAAGGCTTAAGCTAAACGTAGCAATAGGATAACTTAAGACACTTATGCAGAGTCAAAGCTACCATATCACACTTGCAAAATGACCAGTACAAAGGCAGCTCCCATTCTTCCTGAAACTTAGGGATGAGTCACAGTGCAGTCAGGGAATGCCTAGGAAGTGGCAGGCATTACCAGCTTTAGAAAAAAAAGATGTAAGTTCTTGGCAGTTGTAAATGTAATAGAAATTTTTAAACCTTTAAAATTAATTAGGCCACATAGCAAAGCACTACCTCCCATTCCAAACCTGAAAATTGAGTGCTGCCTGCAATCAAGGAATAGTGCACACTTAATTCTATTCTAAGTTACTTCTTAAATACACCAACTGTAACTTCCTTGACCCCACTGAAAGTGAAGGTAAAGGCTGTTCCCTGTTTGCCTGGTTGGGCTCTTGTCCATTTTTCCTCAAACTAACTACCTTCTGCTTTGAAGCCTATTGCACAGAATCACATTAAGGGTGGATCTGTATGCATTAGCAGCAGGTGAATGAGCAAATCCAATTGTCAGGGAGTGGCAAAGGGAAACAAGAAAAAAAAAACAGAGTGGAAAAAAAGCAGAGGGGGAGGTTAGTGACTACAGAGATAAAATGAGGGTCTCCACAATGCACCATACCTAGGGACAAGGATTTATGTGCTACTTCTGCTCAGGAATCAGGCAGTAGGTGAGAGCCCAGCTGCTGGGGGGTGTGGGGTGGGACAAAACTACCACTGAGCAGAACTGAAGCAGCAGCACGAATGGAAACCCAGTGAATCTTAGAACAGCATCAGTCCTTTTTCTTGCATAAAAAGGTCTATATGACCAGCAACACTGATGGTCCTGTCTCTTCTCCTTCCACCCCACCCTTTTTCTTTGCAGTATGTGAACATTCAATAAATGTTAGGTCTCCAACAAGCATACAGTGCTTCTACTCTGACATCAACTTGATCCTTTTGTTGGGGCAGAAACCCAAACACAACTCTCCTCACCTTACCCCCAGACACAGCTGGGGCTGAGATAGTTTATCCTAGTGGATAAGCACATCAGCCCTTTCCAGGGCAGATGCAGGCCACAGGCCAAAGCCTCTCTCGCCCCCACAGGTGGGTACAGTGAGAGGGTGTAGTGCACTGATGATAGTGCATGTGCCCTGCACTGCAGCTCTAGTATCCATAGCAAACAAGGGAGATAACCTGCTTTAGCTGTTTGTATTCAGCCAGTGCTAGAGAGGTGTAAGCATGCACACATCAGGTGCTGTAGAACCACCATGAGCAGCTGGGCCAGTAACAGCCAGCAAACCCAGCTGGGGGCAGCCTGGCAAAGATGCAAAACTAGGGTGGACACCAATGAGATACAGAGTTTTAGGAGGGCGAGCTGGGTCTAGAATGAGGTTGATTAATAAATGAGCTCCTACTGTAACAGGTGAGGGTGGTTAGAGGGAAAAGAGAGGGGACCTGCAGTGATGCTAGTCAGATACATCTTATTTTGTGGAAGAAAAGAGACCACAGATTCACATTGTGTTCCTGTGGGCTCTTTCAGATGATGCTGGGCAGAAGCAGATTCCGCTTCTGGATATGGGCAAGCTTAAAAATTCTGTGCTGGGATAATTCATGCACTCAAGCCATGGAAAAAGTAGGGTTATTGAATGCAGAGGCATCAGTGAGCCTTGTGGCTTGCCCTAGAACAGACTGCTGATGCTGGCTGGCTTTGACCCTGTCTGAGGCTTTCTTTGGAAATGCTGCCAGAGGCCAAGTATTTCTGGAATGAAAATCTGAGGCAGAAGTGAGCTTTCCTGAACTGGATTTTTACTAACAGGCCTCTCCAACTTCATCCCTGTGCTACTTCTCAGGGAAAGACAGGCTGAAGTTGAAAGGGGATATGCTGCCTCCTCCTGCCACATGCCTGAACTGGCAAGAGCATTCAAAACGCTGCCTTTGTGAAGAACAAACTATTTCAGGCAGGGCATACACCTCTCACCTCTTGTCCTGGATACTGCCACTTGAAGTTCACATCCACATCAGGCTCCCCGAGGACTGTGCAGACCACATGAACTCTGTCACTGAGTCCGGCTCTACTGGATGACACTGCAATTGTGGTTGAGGGTGGGCCCTTGGGAACTGAGACAAAGACAGTATTTAGAAACAGAAAATCAGCTGCTAAAAGTTAAATACACTGATAAAATTGAGAGTCAATTTTTGACTCAGTTTGCTTACTGCAAAAGGTGCTTTACACCTGCAACTTTCCCCTCTAAACTGGGAAATTTGTGGAATTTAAACCTGATAAATGTTTTATCACATATACTTTTGATCAAGATTTTAAAACTCTCATTACATGACTTATTTTACTTTCTAAAAATTATTTTCTTAATGTCAGTAGGAGAGTCAATTTAAGGACAGAGAAAACTGCTCTTTACCTTCCACATACAGTAGGTGGTATTTGATGGAAATCTGAGGTGCTCCCTGTGACTCTGCTTTGCAGTAGACAATACCTTTATGATCAGAAGTTGGGTGCTGGAATACAAAACCCTTCTTTGCATCATAAATAATATCAGTTCCATCTGTTTCAATTTCTCCTGCTGGAAATTCCCTGTGAAGAGTCACTTTTGCTGAAGGAGTAGTAACACGGCATGGGATGACTGCAGGTTTATCTGGGTTCAGGTAGACAATCTCAAAATAACTGGGAGTAGGTACAAAAAGTTCCTCTTTGTCTGTGCAGAAGAGTTGACATAATTACAGAAATATTTACATTGTGGTTTAACAGAAAGAAAAGTACATTTGACAAGAGAAAATAGCTGTGAGCAACATTTAAAACAAAAAGCTTTGGATTAATTTTAATATGCACACACAAAAGAAAAAAGAACACTACTTGCATTAAAAAACATTACATTGAAAACAAAAATGAAGTATTTTTTTGAACTTAAGAAAATCTTTGGAATGTCTTTTAGTAAGCTGCCAAATACTTATCTGGATCCCATCACCAATGGTAAGATAGGACTACTAGAAATAAGATACTTTTTGAAGCTACAGACTTTTTATACCTATGCTTTTAAGACAAAATGTTTGATTTACTGTCTAAAGTAGATGAAATATTTAGTGCCCTCAGAATCACAGTTAAGGAGTATTTCCATAATTGGCATGCTTCTTAGAAATCTAAATCTGAAATTCCTCTTTCTAGCATAAGCATTTACGTAATAATTTGACTGAAAAGTTTATTCCAGTCTTTCTAAGGAATGTAGCCTAAAAATATTAAGCACTTCTGTCTCACGGTCCAATCTAACTCCAAAATGTATTGCAAACAATCCTTTCTTGACATTTTGTACTAAAACATTTTCTAGTCACAAATACTTTAGCTCTAATGAAGCATCAAAGGTTGTTTTACTGTTCAGGACAGCTTCCAGAAGAAAAATTGAACCATTTGATTTCAGCTCTTTTGTACTAAGCAGCAGTAAACTTTGCACAGGCTGTGGGGGACATCACAAGCACTTGAAGAGCGTTTTGCCTCTCCACATGCTATAATGACTCCTCAGAGAAATTGTGGCCTTACCAAGGTCAGCAAGGTCAAGTTTTTTAAGGCAGTGCAAGTAACCAGAATGAAGTGACAGTGGGGGAGAGTCCATGGGATCATCTAAATGCCACAAAAAATCTTCTGCACAGATTTATTTTCTTTATCAAGACACACTTTCCAGAATTAAAACATTTTTTATTTGTTTTGCAGAAAATCCTCAGGAAGTGTGTTACTATTTCCTATGGTATGTGCTTTTCATTCCATTTTCCATTACCTTGGATATTTTGCATGATCTGTAGGGAAAATGGACTCAAAAAAATCACACTAAGCAAGTTATTCTCTGCCCACCAGCACAGTCTCACTTAACATCCACTGAAAATAGATGAAAACTATGGCAGTAAAATCTTGACAGTGTAATCACTGAATAAGTTCTATTCCTGTCTAACCAGCAAATACATTTCCATTAATAATCCCCGAGTGAATTAATTACCTGTGAAAAAGATGTATGTTGACCCTGTTTTAGTCTCATCCTTCCTGCATTTGTTACCACTGCACAGCTGAAGCCAGCAGCTGTATTCACCTGTGTCTGCTGCAGTGGAGTTTGCAAGGATCAGCTGACTGTACCTGTCGAGCTGCTTTATGCTGTGGAAAAATAAAAACAAAAGACAAAGACAAGCACAGATGTATTTCCTTGTATATTTCTGTCAGCTCATTCCCACTTAGGATTTTTTTATTCCTTCTGTAAAACTGACCCTTTTCATTTTCAGAGCTCTGTTGCAACTTCCCCTTTTGCTCCAGCAGAGCTGTTTACATGAGTAGTTTTATTGATTTTAACTACATTTAAGAGCTTGCAAGCTTTTTATTCCAGCCTTTCTAAGGAATGTATCCTAAAACCACTAAGCACTTCTGTCTCATGGTCCAATTTAACCCCAAAATGTATTTTACATGAGTAGTCTTACTGATTTTAACTACACTTAAGAGCTTGAAAGTTTTTGTCTTGTACAGTTCATTTCTGGATTCTTTCAAGTCTCTCTCTTCAAGGAATTTTGAAATTGGGCTGTGACTATTCTAGGCCATATGTTCATCTATGTTTTGTTCTAATTTGTCCATGTATAGCCCTATCCTTCATTCTACAAGTCAACCCACATGCATCTCAGTACTTTTTAAATACTGTAGCACTGCTTCAATAGCATCTAACAAAGATAATTCCCAAGTAGTGAGTAGCAAACTCTAATTTCTGCCTGCTTTCAGTGTGAATGCTTTACCAATTTTTAACGTACTGGTCCAAGTTTCCACTTGCAAAAAGCTGCTATTTGGATTGGATGCTTGGATTTGTCCTGCTAGTTAAGCCACTTTGCACCACCTACTTCTGTGGTCTGTCACCTCACTGGAGTTTCCTCCATATCTCTTGGCTATTTTAGAGCATGACCCTGAGAAATGCTGGAGGTGTACTGGCAGCACCATCACTATACAAAATTCAGCCTGTGAGATTATTTCAGACTTGATTTGCCTTTGTTTTTTTTCCTTCTCCTGAATTTCCCAGGTAACTTCACTAATAATCAGTAAAATAAGTGGATTGACATTTGTAAATGTGCAAATACTTATAAATATGTAGATATATACATAAATACGGATAATTTTTCTAAGGGGTGAAGGCGCTATCTTATGAAATACAGCAGCTACAGTCTCATCTTGTTTCTTTTTTTAAATATAATACATATTGATATAATATACATGTCTTTTTTAATATATTTTAAGGTTTACTTTCCTGGTTCTTTCTGGCAGACAGATGGTGGTGTGGTTGGCAGTTTGCTGGGTTGACTTTTGATGGATTGCAAAAGCAATGGCCCAAGAGTACCAGTTCTCAGGGAACCCTGTCATCTCAGCCATGTGGCAGAACTGATGCACTCTGCTGCTGCTCCAACCCTTAAAAATGTTCTTCTCAACCAGCTCCCTTTCATGGTAGTGGATCTAGGTCATGAAGGGTTTCCTCTTTCCTTTGCAAGACATTGAGTTACAAGGTAATTTCTTTTCTAACCAAGTCAGGAGTGGTTTTTCCAAGTTCAGATATTTGATAATGAAGTCTTTTTACTGTTTTAAAAGGTATTTGGAAAAATACACAGCTTGCATGAAGACTTAATATCTCATACTCATTCAATTGTGGGTTTTTTGAATATTTATTACCCTCCTAATTCTTACTAATGTGGCAGTTATTCAGGCAGATACCTGACTGAATCATTTCTTTCTGGGACTAGCATCTTTGAAGAAATTTTTATCCTCTAACACACCTCACAACTAAGTAACAGGAGTACTACAAACATGCCTGAGTGTACTGTGTTATCTAAATGCTCTGTTATGCTTAATTCTCCACTGCAGGCAGAAAAACTGTTTAAACAGAGGCCACCACTTCAGTTGCATGTCCATCCCAAGTTCTGATTCCTCAGGTGTTCTGGTAGCTGTTTGCACAATTACCAGCAATCACAAGCAACAGTACACGTATTCAGCCAACATTCAGCCTTTACTCAGGCCAGCAGCTTAGAGATTGAAACTACACCAAATACTCACTTCAGAGATAACTGAGAATTCCCTTTTCCAGTAAGCCCTCAGACACCATTAGTACATGGATCCACCACAGAGCAGCTTTGAGGCCTGCCTCAATAAACAGGCAAATCACTTTCCCTATCCACAAATGCATTTGTCCTACACAACCTTGTCTGACGCCATTTTTGGGAATCATGTAATTATGGTGCAGTAGCCTTTCTATTTTTAATATATACACTACCTTACATTATAAACTACCTTCAGTTTTTGGATAACATTGGAGAGATTCCTATCTGTACAAGAGAACATGCTGTGTATCATACCCAACAGGAAGATAAATCCAAAACATGTCCTAGTCTGTATTATTACCATTTAGTTTCATATTCACATTTCATTAGCTATATGACTACCTCAGAATAAAATGTTTTCCAAGGATCAAGTACTTAATGTCAACAATACAGAGAAACCATTATGCCAGAACACTTTCGCTTCCAATCATTAATGCAGACACTGAGCTATAGCTTTAAATCCCAACAGATAGCAAAACAAGGTCAGAGTTAATTAATTATTGTACAGTGTGTTCTTCTTAACTGAGAACAAGCTATCCACTAATCAATGGAAATAACCTAGCAAGGTAGTCATCCACAAACATGCAATAACAAAACCTGGCATCTGAAAGCGTTGAAACTTGAGACATGACCATATTAAGCAGACAAAACAGACCATATGAAATAAAGTACAAATGGTAAATCCTGCAGCTGACCAGTATTTCCAGGGTAACTTATTATTTGATTAGTATTTCATTAGTATTTTAGATGCTGGGAAATCTGACCCAGAAGCCAAAACTTTGCTGTATTGTAGATGTCACAAAGTAAAAATGTTGTATATATGAACATTACCAGACTGTTTAAAGAAACTAGAAAAGTAGCCAAAAATCTTATTCCATATATTCATCTTATTAAACTTTATTTAAAGTTCTGAAGATTTTTGCCAGAAACTATACCATACTTAGAAACTAAAATATATATTTATATGAAAATATGGACAGTGTAAATAGCATCACTCAAAGAGCATCTACCAAACTCCTCTCAAGCAGCCGCCTTCATACTGACAAGAGAGCTTATCCCAAATCAACACACTCACTAGAACAGGAATGTAACATCTCGCTGTTTTACAGAAGGAAAACATCCTTAGCTTTCAATCTTCAAAGCACAAGCAGCAAAATCAAATTCAGTTATACACATGAGCACAACTGACATCCCACTAAGCCTCTGGGAGTATGCCTTCAGTAAAAGCAGTCTAATTTTGGCCCCTACCACACCCAGTTTCCTTAATATTTGTGAGAGTGCTCCTGTCCAGACACCCTCCTCCCACATGAATGTACAAGTGATGCATATCCAGCTGTTTGTCCCAGCTTCTTCCATTAGAGCAGCTCAATTTCACGTGAGTTTACTTATCAGAGGAAGTTAAATGCAGCTGGTTTTAGGCAGGGGAGAGACCCATGCTCCAATCAGGCAGCACAGAGACTATGTGAAGTCAGAGCAGCTTTCTGCTATAAAGCTTTAGTACATGGAAAATGTGCCTGCCCTGATTTTTATTTTCATCCCTCTCATATGTTGTAGATCCAGTTTCTGGGTGAGCCTCCAGTCATTAATTTGTTATTCACAGCCTTACAAAACAGCATTCCAGTCCTTCCATACTGGGGGTGCAAGAGCAACCTCTGACTGCTAACACCACCAATGTTTTTGGTGCCAGCACACAAAATTTTCAGACAAGAAGTATTTATGTGCTGCACAAAGCAAGAGAACATTATAGATAATAGGCTAGTTCTGAAGCCAGCTTGTGTGCATCCTTAAGTTGCAAACAATGTTTACATGATTTGAGCTTTCTCCCCAGAGCTGTACTTCATGCTACAGTCTCTAAAGCTAAGTAAATTGTTTCAGTGTGTACTCCAGTTAGAACAGAGGAAAACCAAAATTTCTGCTCCATCTCAGCACGAAGCAGCCAGAGTCCACCTCCTCCTTTCACTCAGCATCTCTCACTCCCTCGGATATGATAATTTTAGCACATGTAACAGCTCCAGTCCTATTAAAAACTGAGACTTTCTAGTACAGCAAGCAAAATATTTCATTTACCAGGTTGTAAAGAATGGCTACACGGAAAAATTCAATGAAAGCACAGCCAGTAATACTACAGAAATGGCTTTTCTAATTAAAATCATCCTCCTTAGAAAAGGCATGTTGTCCCCCAGGTTGCTGTATTCTCCTTATCATATGGGTGAGTTAAAAATGCAGTAAGCACAGCATGGAGGCAAAACATCTGTTTTTTATCCCTACTTCTTTTTGTAACCACCCATAGAAAATACATGACATTGATGCTAAATTTAATTAGTTGCAAGCCAAAATGCCAGAGTAGTTGAATTTGTACATCCTTTCTATTATTTAAGGGAAAAGTAAGAATTGGATGCCGGAGCATCTGTTGCTTATAGGAACATTAAGATGAACAGAAGAATTCTCTCACTAGTCCCCAGCAACTGCAGGGATCTCATCACCAGTGTCTCTCCTCCTTTTCACTTTTCCTCTGGCACACCAACCCACTCCTTCATTTTCCATTACTTCCTATTGGCCCCATTATGTCCCCCCGCTGCTGCCATCTATTCTGGCTTGCACCAGTACCCCAACTCCAACAAGATGCTCATGGAAATCTAAGGTAAAAAAGGCCCAGCTCAGTTAATTAGCTTGGGTTTTGCCCCAGACCTCACTAACTGGTAATAAAGGGAATGTCTTATTCTCGGTCTTTAAGTACTTAAAAAATATTAGAAGATACTGGATATATACCTACCCAGATGATTAAACTATTTCTGCTGTTATTATATGCTAATAATTTTTCTCCCCCTCTGTTCTATATTCATCATTTTATTTTAAAATAATGAAGGCAATGTATTTATAAAATTTTTTAATTGCCTATCGCAGTTGATGCTTGGTTCATGGTCTTGCATATGCCATGAGGAAGATATAAGCTCCTTTTGAAAGATCATAGATTTGCTGACTTTTTCTGATGGCAGCTCACTTACAAACCCTGCCAACTGAGCTAAGTAACTTCTATGATACTTGCAGTTAAACTCCATCAAACCTTTCTGAAACCACAGAATACAAATTTAAAATTCCACATTCTAAGAGCAGACTTTATTTCATAGGCACCTATTAGCATTACAGCAAAGACCTTAAGATAATTACCAAAGCCATGCTAAAAACATGAAGAAAATGTAACTTCACAGGGATTCTGTGGTCAATGTCTCCAGAAATTATTACTCTTCTTGACTCTGAAATCTGTTTCTAATCTATGTTTTCAATTTCTCTAGTTAATTTTAGGATCTTCTGCTTTCATTCAAAGCTGCTGATTTACTCAAACACAGCCTTACTGCTTTAACAACTTATTTCAAAAGCTATGACCATTATATTTCAATACAGATCCTTAAGTATATGCCTAACATACTTCTAAAAGAAAATAAATACTTAGGCAAGTAACATCCACCCAGTTAAAATGTTTTATAGCGCTTATTTTGCGTGGCGTAACTAACTTTTGTTGTATGGTTAAATTACTACTGCTAACTTGACTGAGTACAGAAATGTAAATTGCTGAGGCAGCAGGATCCCAAACTACTTAAAACTGGAAAACAGAAAATTACACAATAATGACATACATATCCTTTTCCTGTTTCCCCAAACCATCTCAATTTCTTGTATTTTGTCCCACACACATCAACAGAGAAACTTAATTTTGCATGAGAGGAATAGACTGTCAAATAACCAATCAAGAAACAATCTGATTCCTCTCCAAAAAACCCCGAATACTTGCCCCATCTTCAATGCCAGATTCTGACACTCAGCGTGGCTTGGAGGTCTACAGGACCAAACCACGCCAGCAATCTATTTGCAAATGCACAAAACATTAAGACAGACTTGAGAATGACAACCACCACCACATCCACATGCACTCCCTGTTGATTTGCACATCCAGCTCTGGCTTGCTGGGAGGCCAGGTCTGTACTGCAGCTAATAAACGCCACCTGCTGAAAGAAACCTGGATAGAACAGTATTCCTTGCAAAAGAATAAGCAGTAGCAGTTCAAAGCAACCACAAGATCTTTTGACAGATATTGCTGTGATAAGCCAGCAGCAGGAACCAGCTTGCTGCTGTAATTTACTGAGACAGAAGCCTTGCACTCAGCCAGGGTAGCTCTTGAGCGCCTCAGCCAACAAGGGACAAGCAAATAATTGCACAGAGAACTGGCTCATGAATTACAGGAGGATGTGCTAGAGATCACAATGTGTAACTGCCATTCATCAACACTCCTCTTGGGAAAGAGAAGTGGAAAGAAGAGTGTATCTGAAAACTAATTAACTGTGACTGATTTTAAGGTAACATCACACCTGTAAATAGTGAATAGATCACTGAGATTCAGATAACCTGAGTTACTTAGAGAGACCATACACACTTGTACTTAATTTAGGAGCAACAGGACAAGAGCAGCTGATATCTTGACTCATATCTCTGTGCCCCTCTCACCTAATAATCCAAGAAAAGCTCCTAACAATTCTTGCTTTGGGTATCATTCACAGTGCTTCACTGCCTCCATAAAACAGCTGGTGAAAACAAACACTTCTCAGAGCAATAAAATGCCTGTGGAGGACATCCTTAAGCTCCTTCTATGCCCCTTCTCTTTCTAATACAGAACTAAATTACTACATTTAATCTACATGTACTGTCCTCAAAAACCAGGATGGTAATTTACAGAGTCTCAGAAAAGATGTTGAGGGCAACAGGACACTCAGATAGTGGGGCAGTTAGTTCCTCTTTATATGATTTTCCTTAAAATGTCACAAGATAAAAGAAAAAGCTTTCCTTGATGTAAAGTGGCAATCCTCAGCGTTATACTCCAATGCAACACAAGCCCTGCAATTTCATTTTGCATGCAAAGTCAACTCTGACTGAACCATTACTCTCACTTGCTCCTTAGTATGAAGGCTGGTGAATTTTTCACTTGTTAAGAGATGCGAGTTTGAGCCTCTTCAGGAAATTAACCTTACTACCTCACATGGCAGCAACCAGTACAGCCCAACATGAGCAGGTCTCTGCGCAGCAACAGAGTTGGTAGTGAGCACCTGACATCCACACTCACACATTTTGAGAGTTTTACTTTGTACCAACCCTAACGTGGCTCCCTGTTTGTGGCTGAAGCAAAATGGTGAACATCATCTTCATTTTATATTCATCTGAAGGAAACAGAGTTCACTTGCTGTAAGACTATCCCACAATGCACATCACAAGGCAGTAGCTGGTGATGACTAAAAGTTGCTCATCCTTTTTGCTGTTGAATTCAGTAAGGGGAAAAAAAGTTCTGGATTTTTCCTGCAAAAAAATGAAAAATGTCTTACCTGAGTCTGGAGTCTTTGAAGGTGTCTAAATAAGGAGGATAGCTCCAAGTAACATTATTCCCCTTACATCGCAGTTCTATGGTTTCTCCTGCAGCTAGGCTTAAGGTGGCAGCTAGTTTCTGGAAATGACCTTTATCCGTCATCTGTGTCAGTATGGACTGAGACTTCAAAGAGGAGTCCATGGATTCTCTCTCTTTCATTTTGGGAGTCTTGGGTTTTACTTTCTTGTTAACAGGCTTAATTTTGTTTTCTCCATGTTCTTTGGGACGCTTACTCTTTGCAGGCTGTCCAATAACTGGTAAAGTAAAGAAGGCAATGTTACTGATTAGAAAAATTTTATATAGTCTTTTGAAAAAAAAAACAAACTTCCTTATCATCCCAGAGAATAACTGAAGTTTTGCTCTTCCTAGAAAAGATGCATAAAATTTAGTAAGAGTTAATTTCCTTAAGTTTATGAAGTCTGCCATGACCCATTTTCCTGGGGAAAAAGGAAAAAAAAAAAGAGAGCTTTCAAGAACATGTGGAAAACCTTTACTTACATAAACGGAGAAATATGTAAGGTATGAAAACTTTACAAATGGTAAGGGAAAGAAACACAGCACTTGTATCTCCAGCCACTTTTGTCATTTCCACCTCCTGGTGTTGCCATGCAGCACTCAATGCTACACAAGCTCTCCACATTCATGTCACATGCCCATCACCTCTGCATGACCTCTTCACACACCATGCTTCCATAAGGGACACGTGAAGAACTCACAAGTGTAGAACTTCACGATGATTTATAAAATACTGATAGTGATGCAGTTTTCTTCATTTACAGTAATTACTGAAATGCAAGTGTCACTTCAGTCACTTGAAGGTAACTTAAGTTGTCACTTCTCCATAGAAGCCATTTATTTTGACAGTCCAGATGAAGACAGAATCTTATTTAGAGACAAATAGTAGGGGGTTTCATTACCTCCTAGAAAGAACAGGGATGACCTGTTGCCTTAACAAAGGAAACAAAAAGAAAAATTTCAATTTTAATTTCATTTAAAAATAAAAACGAACAAAAACTCTAACTGACATCAGGAAGCACAGTCCTTTTGTGAGACAAGCCTAAAACTACTTTTGTCAGACACCAGAAACACCACTAACTGCGCCTGACAGCTAATTCTTGTTTTCCCCATAGAAATGCTGAGGTATTTCATTGCACAAATCAATCAACAAGCTCCCTCTGGAATGAAAAACTCAGCATACTCATATACACAGCACAATTAAAACTGGTACTGACTGCCAGTACGAGCAGCAGGACTTCCAGATTCCTGCCACTGATGGCTCCTGTGACACTCCTCAAACCCCAGCTGGATACCTTGCACTGCGTCAGCTTTGACTTCTCCAAGTCCAGGCTGATGTACAACACATTTCTTTTAAACAGCTCAGTGCCTTGTGAGCACGAATTCAAAAACCAGGAAATTCTAGCGTTTTTTCCTTGCATTACATTAGAAAGGCTACAGTGGGTCAGGCCAAAATTATTTGCACTGACACCACCTAGTGTCAGATGCCAGTCAGGGAACGGGGCAACCATCTCTGCTCCTTTGATACTAGTCTCCTAAGCTTCCAAGAACCTTTAGCTCAAGGGGTCTGTGAACCTTGTGACGTAGTTGTCATCATTTTATTGTGCTTGGCTGTTTTTGGTTTTGCTTGGTTTTGGGGTTTTTTGGGGGTTTTTTATTATATTGTCCTTGGATGTTTTCCTTCATTGATTTGATGGCCAGTTTTGAAAATTACACAAATTACACATAAATACTAGATGCCTTCTAGGTTTTTTATTAAACAAATAAATATCCATGTTTCTCCAACAACATTCTCTCCAACATATATACTTTTACAAAACTTGAGCATTTTTGACTCATTTTCTTTCCAGAATAACAAGTCCTACTCTGTCTAATTGTTCCTGTAAAGAATATGCATCTTACAGCAGTTCGCTACCACCGCATTTGGGTGATGGCAAGAACACAAAAGCAGACTGTACACCAGATTCAAGGTATTCTCAGATCCAGTTGTACATATTAATGGTGTCTTCTTTCCTGTCTAAACAGCTCATTACTTTTCAAGATAACAATATTAGGAGCTGACTTTTTGAAAAATAATCAAGTGTCATTCCAAGAGCACTTTCCTAAGAAGGAGCTATTGTTTAAAAATTCGTTAAGTAGAAACCCAGCAAGGCATACATGAAGTTAGAACAATTTGTGTTATTTAATGTCTACCAACAGAAAATCTGAAGTTCCATCCTGTCCCTGCCCAGTCTTTCAAAATTGAGAGATCATTCTACAACTCTTTACTGACAGTTTTCTTTTAACAGGTATTTTAAAATGCTGAAAAGCATTTTCCTTACAAGACCCTTGTTAAATTCAACTGGATAAAAGCAATTCCATCCATATTGCAAAAAGACTAATTCCTACTCATTATTTCCTATTAGTTATTGTTCCATGAGCGGTCTTCCCTTGTCTCACAGCACATTGATTCCCATGGAATCTTTTACAACAGGCTTAATAAAAGCCTTTGGGAATCCAAATATATCAACCAATTCATACATGGCCACACTCTTACAAAAAGTCCTCAAAGAACCACAGCAGACCTGAAAAAAAAAAAAAAGAAAAACAAAAAGGAAAAAAAGGAAAGTAATGCCAAAGCCATACTGATTTTTCAGAATTCATGAGTTCAGTTTACAGAATACAGACATCTGGCTTTGTGCCTCTACCTCCCCCAGATATTGTAAAATACTGGGATATTTCATTTCCTGGAAAAGGTATAGTTATATGATATCATATAGTGATATGTAGTGCTATCGCAATCAATTCAGTTGGAAAAGACCTCTGAGATCATCGAGTCCAACCTTTGACCAAAACCCACAATGTCAATTAGGCCATGCCACTTTCCAGTCTTTCCTTAAACACCTTCAGGGATGGTGATTCCACTACCTCCACTGGCAGTTCATTCCAATGTCTAATCACACCTACTGAGAAGGAATTCCTCCTGATGTCCAACCTGAACCTCCCTTGGCCCAGCATGAGGCTCTGTCCTCTTGTCCTATCACTTGCTACCACCTTCTTTCAGGTAGTTGTAGAGAGTGATAAAGTCACCACTGAGCCTCCTTTTCTCCAGGCTAAGCAACTCCAGCTCCCTCAGCCACTCCTCATAGGACTTACCCTCTAGACCCTTCAACAGCTTCATTGCACTTCTCTGGAAAAAGATGGGAAATTATGACAAGCTATGGACCTGGATTAAGGCTTCACCAATTTCAGATTCAAATTTTTTTCACACCTCAGGTGTATATCATAAAATCATGGCACTTAAACAGTTTCTGTTGCTGATTTTCTTACTGATTCTTTTGGTATATTAATGAGATATCCTCTAATTATTCTCCCCACAGAGAAAAATTCTATTTCAGAGTCTGCTCTTACAGAGTTTCATAGGATATTGCACGCTAAGTTCCTTCTATGCTTATCATGTCATTTTATCATTAAAAACTCCCTAAGCACCTCCATAGTGAACCTGGGTGCACAAAGATAATTTTTTAAATTTTACTTTCTACAGATGCTCTTTCTTATTCCCCATTCCTCCCAGCCATAAAAATTCTGCAGCCATGTTTCTCTGCCCCACCACAGTACAAGAGAAGAAGAAGGATTTATGACTGTTTTTATCCTTTTGTCAGCTATTTCTCAAACTCTTTTTGTCTGCTTTATTCTGTTTTTTATATTTAACCCACATGTGATTTAAGAAGCCTCCTCCTCTTATGTAATTCCCCCTTCCAAAATTAAACACATCAGTGGTTTCTTTGTCTTTTATTCTTCCTGAAAGAATATTAGAACTACAGTCTGGCTGTTCCACAGCAACATCTGAATCCAATTACCTGAGTAGCACTCGAGATCAAGTCAAGAATTGCTGCTCTTCTGAAGGGCTCTCTGAATAGCAGCTCTAAGTCATTATTTGTGGCATCTAAACAATTGCATTCTGCACCACACCTCGAGATGTGCAACCTAGCCCATGTGAGGAGAAGTTATTACTCCTTTTGCTTTTCTATCCAGCCCTTGCTGCCCCTCTGATTTTCTTCAGCAGAGCAGTCATTACACATTGGGTGGTCAGTTACCAGGTTGGTTCTCCACAGGGCTGGTATTTCAGTCCTGATGACTTTTACCATCAAAACACACCAGGAAACAGATTCAAGACTTAAGTTTTCTTCTACACATACTGCCACTTCTTCCTTGGGTATGCTATTATATCTTAATAGAATTCCATCACATTACTGTGCCCTAGTACTGAAAGGTTCCACTGACGGGCCTGATATGCCTTTTGAATATGCATTCCGGTTTCAAATTGGCCATTTCAGTTCCGTGTTGAACTTTCCAGATTACTCTGTAGCAGCACACAAGCTTTGGTTCAGCCATCCTTTTTCTTTTTTTTTTTTTCCCCATCAAACCCTACTGAAATTTGTTCAAACATTTTCACGACTTTTTTGCCAGCCTCGATCCTGACACTATTTCATAGGCACAAGATCCTGCAATCTCACTTCTAGGAAATGCTTCATCCCATACTGTGTGCTCTGCCACACCTGAGCCTCTGTCTTTAAGAAACTGTTAAGGACTCCCCTATGAAAGCTTTTCAATTTTAAGTGCCAGAAACCTGGTTTTGATTTTCTCAAGATTAAGTTTTTTCTCTCCACACAAGCTCCCTCTGTTCCATGTTTCTGCAGTTCAGCGAGTCTGAACACTTTCCTCCTACACTGCACTGCCAACTGCTCGGTGAGAGCCTGGTCTGCCTGACTTTGTATTTCCCTGCAGGTGACAGCAGGGACATTTCAGGAAACACATCAGATGAGCTTTGTCTTCCTACACAGAAAACCTGGTTCTGCCTCTGTTGCACCTCCTAGAGAGGTGAGTTTCCAAGCAAGGTGTGGCCATGCTCCTTCCCAACACTCCCTTGTAAGTCTGCCCAGGTACCTACTGACACCACCATTTCTGCACCTCACAATTCTGTCTTCTGTCATGGCTGAATGAAGTCTTTCTGTGCCAGGTAACTAAATTAACTGCTACAGTATCGCCTAAGGTAAAGAAGACACACAATGAAATCCCTCCAGGAACATAAACCAAGAATCCTCAATTTTCTTACCCAATCTGCAAGACTTTCCCAAGAAAGGGAACAAAGTCAACTAGCCCATTTATGCAAGCACATGAATATGCCACATTTGGGATATTTTACTGTCTCACCAGAGGTATGCACAGACCCCTCACCATTTTAATAACACTGCATTGCTTAATGTTGCACTGCTCTAGTGCAACAGCACTTCTTATTACATATAAAAATATAATAAAATTGAGACTTAGAAAAATATTGAGAAAATGCCTCATTTCTCCCTCTGATCAGCTCCTAATGTCACTTCTAAGAGGCACTGTACTAATTTCAGCTGCAACAGTTCATTCAGGGTCCCTACTAACTCATCATGCCAAAGCAGGAGACTATGCATCCGTATGTCACAGAAATACATCATGCAGAACTTTTGCTCCTGATTCACAGTATTTGTCTCAACCTATCCTTTGTTTGTCTTCCCCTTGCTCTCACAAATATCACATACACAACAATTTCAAAATGGGTGTTAATTACAAAATCCTGAAGAGCATTCATTTTTTGAGACATCACCTATATCCACATGCATATTCCACTGGTCCCACAGCTGCACAGGTTATAACTCAAGAAGGCCCCTGATCTTCAAGTTCAGCCTAGAGAACTTGAGAAACAGTGTGTGAGCATGGTCCCACAACAAGCACAAAGGAATCGTGTTCATTGTCCACTAGACATACCCATTCCACAAGGCAGGACCCATGCTACATCTTGGCACCATCAGAGACCGAAAACACTCCAAAGTTATACTGATTACTTCTTCCTTGAGGTGAAAATAAATTAAGTGTAAGGTTACCATAAAGTATAATTAACCACCAGGATTATCATATAAGGAAAGAGTATTTTTGATTACTAGTAATGTAACAGAACAAGCTGGATGCATCTCATCACTTGTGATACTTCAAATGAAAAGCTAATCATCCAAACAGAGCCAATCTGGAGGGCCATATTTCATTAGTTCATAAATTAATATAAGATAAATTAGGAAGACTATTTTGAAATTACAATTCCTCCATTAGGACTTCTACATTTAGCTTTAGACAATAAATTCTTATTAAATATGCCTGGCTACTTTTCCCATTTCTCCCAATTCTCTCCATTACTTTCTTTCTGCATCTCTCCATCTGCTAAGCTTCTGGATGGCAGAGCAGGAAGCACCTTTATACACCTCAATGTAAACATGACAAACTGACAAAAACATAGACTTGGGAAATCATTATCCCAAATTACAACTCACATCTTATTCTAGTTTTTATTGCCTACCTCTCAAACAGAAAATACTCTTCTTGATGTGGTATACCCACAAACCAGATCTTTCAGCACAAATCCTCTCCCCCACCACTCTGATCCACAGTGCAATTCCTCTCCATGTAGTCATGAGAAAATCTAGGCTGGAAAAGGCTTCTTGAAGTCCATTCCCATTTGTTCAGCTGTTATGAGCCTTGTCCAGTTGAGCTCTGACTTTTCCAAAGGCTGGAGACTGTATAGGCTCCTCGAACAAATTCTTTCTATGCTTAACAGCTCTCATGGTGGAGGACTTTCTATGTTCTTACAAGAATGTTTTCCTTATGACCTCCCAAAGTACCTGTGGTAACTGCTTCTGTCTGTCACCACTCACCTAAGAGCCTGCCTGCCATTTCTCCACAAACCCTTCTATGGGCTACGCAGATCCCCAAGCCCTTCCACGGTGAAAAACAATGGAATTATTATTATTTTTTCTTATGAATAAGTATTAATAAGTTCATTCACGTTTTGCAATGGTGAAAGAGCCTCTCTTTCTAGCTAAAGCCTATGTAAGCAAAGAATTAGTTATGAACGTCCATTCCCAAAAACTTGCATTTCCTCACCAAGACTTCCTCACAGCCTGAAGCAAGCGGTATTATGAGTGAAGTTCGATGCTCTCAATCGAACAATGATGCACAAAGCCAAAAACTTTTTTTGGTTGTTTGCTAAATCCGCGCACCACGTCCAGCGCTGTCCCACGCCCAGCGCTGTCCCTCCTCAGGCGCCACACGGGACTGGACGCGAACTTAACACGTTTCACCCCAGAGGGAGCGGGCGGCAGGAGCAGCCGCCGCGAACGCCTAAAAGCCCGAAACGCCTAAACTCCCCAAAACCCAAACCCACATTGTCGGCGGAAAGCTCCGGCGACCTGCGATGCGAGCATCCCGCCTTCCCTCCGCCTCTGCCCGGCGGGACGGGAGCCCCGCCGCCGGCTCCTCCCGTGATGGCTCCCGCTCCCGTCCCGGGGACGGTCGGGCCGGCGGGTACGGCTGGGAAAAGGGAAGCCCNCAGCGGGGAGGGGCCGGGGCTGGGCCGCTGCCGCCGCCAGCCGCCCTCCCTCGCCCGAGACCCCGTGTGAGGAGCGGAGCTGCGGCCGCAGGGCGTTCGGGGACACTGGGGGACGGCTCTTGCTGAAGCCGCTGGTCCGTGCCAGCTGCCCCTTGCCATATGAGGATCTGCACGGGTCCGGCTGTTTGTTGGTGCCCTGGGGCCCGCAGGCGGCCGGGCAGAGCGAAGCAGCGAGAGCCGCTCGGGCTGCATCACAGGTGTCCCCAGCGCCGCGCGTAGGGCGCTGAGCAAGACAGCAAAAGTACATTTTTAACTCAAAGTGCTGCACTCGTACCAGCCTGCCAGGCCCAAGAGATTCAAATTAGCTCAGGAAAAGCTACCTCACTGTGGAAAACAGAGGAGGGCTCTCTCTGGTCCAGCCTGGGACTCCATAGGCCGTGACACAGTTTTCGCGGATGCCCGTGAGAAGCGCATTGACACGGCGCACGTCTCTCTCTGCTGCTAGCGAAGAGACGAGGGTGGTAAACTTGATGTTTGCCGCATGTATGTTTCTGCCCACAACGAGCTGTAAAAAGCCATTCCTTGAAACTTGATGGTTTCCTTGGAGGAGAGGGGAGAGGAAAATATGACTGGAGGGGCCACAAAGGTAAATGCAAGGCGAGGTTGGACTTGAACGGGAAAAATAATGGCTGTTAGGGATCACAGGCAGCCCCCGTAGTAGACACAACCACCGCTCAGAGTGAATAAAAATAAATAAAAATTGAATCCCTTACCACAGCTCCAGGGCCACAGCAGATGTGAGAGCCGAGTATTTACAGTTTACTTAAAGGAAGCCTTGGCTTCATCTGCATCCACACAAAAAAAGACAGACGGTCCATGCGTAATGCTCCTCCACCCTCATATATACACGCACACGCAGAGTTTGGAGACTTCCTTGCCTGACCCTGTTCTGACACTTCACTCTGGGGCACCTGGTTCGCAGAAAGAAGCCAGTAGGACCCAGGAGTAGAGTAAGATGATGGAATTTCATGGTCTCTTTTGCATTCTATTATCAGTGTATCATGAACATGTCATCCATTACCTGTAACAAATTAAGAAAAAGAATGTATTGTTGCTATAGGATATTTAAAAAGTGTTTCCCCCTTGAAATAATTGGAATATCAGGTATTGTATATGAAAAGGTTATCAGTCTTTGCTTTAAGGTAAATGAATCTCAGCAAGAACTCAGAAAAGTTGTATAGTATAAACTGAAAATTTGCAGTGGAAATATTCACAACTCCTCCTTATGATGAAGAGTGGGCTTTTTTTCCCCCTGTCATCTGCAAAACTACTGGTTGCAATCCTTATGTGCCTTCCTAGGTGAAATTTCCCTTTTGCTTTCACACACAGAGTAGGTCAATGATCTAATGGTGTCTGAGCTTCAAGTATTAGCTTCATATTATTATGGAAATTATGGTAATAGCACATGGAAATAACACTCAGACTGCATTAATTTTAAGAAATATTTAAAGTGACATATTCCTTTTTCTTATGCTAATGTATGCAATGAAGAAAGAAAATTATTTTATTAATTTTTCGTGTCCTACTTTACAATAGGCATGCATGAAAAACATTTTCATTTACAGCCATCAGAAAAACTAATGTAAACCTTCATGTGATGATCCCAGTCCTCCACATGAGTAAGCCAACATATTAAATATATCTTTTCATGTAATATTTTAAATATTTCAGTATGACTCATCCTTATTTAAATAGTGGCCCTATTCCACTGCTTCATGGGACCAAGATTTTCAAGACCAGTCTTAGTACATCTGGATGTACAATAAGGTGATTATTAATAATTTGATTACTATTTTATAATTCCTTGTAAATAATATACCTTGGAAAAAATTCTGTCATATTCTGTGAACAAAGATGACTACTCAAATGTCTTTGAGAACAGCACCAGATGATAATCTTGCCCTGGAAATAGGGTTCTGTGTCCAGACTATTGCTATCCATTGCCCAGACACATGCTTTTATTTTCTTGCTATACTCACAGTACTATTCAATGTTTTGGGGTTGGCTTGTTTGGGGTTTTTTGGGGTTTTGGAGGTCTTTTTTTGTAGGATTTGATTGTGTTGTTAATGTTGTGGTTAGCTGATTTGGTTTGGGGTTTTTTCACAAAAAGGGAACAAGGGGACGATGAGTTTATTCATTCAAGTCTGAGGTTGGGTGAATAAAAGGACAAGGCTTGGTGCTCCAGGGAGTTGAGCATGAATGCTGAGGGCTATGCATCCCCTCTGGAAATCAAACCTAACATCATCTCTGGTTTGGCAGTGTAGCGCAAAATGCCCAAATCAAAGGCTGTTATTCTCTATTTCAGTGTTTCTTCAATGCTTGGAAGCAAGAGGAAAACAAACGCTGCATGTATCCTCATCTCCAGACCATCTTCCTATTTAAACATAAGACATGGTTGTGTTTTCCCCTCTATACTGTGTTATCATGTTATTTATTTTAAATGTGCTATGATGTGTATAATGTCATTAGATATCTGGCATACTCATAATTTTAAGTCATTATTCTATTTTAATGTTAACTAAAACTATAGTTGTGATTGAAGTTATGTCTGCTGTATGAAGGACATACAAGTGATATTCAACTTTATTTAAAAATATGGAACAAATGCACAATTGTTATCCCACAAAGCACATTTTACAGTAAATGAGGAGCAATGTAATTTCCATTAAAATTTGGAACTAAGGTAACTAAAAATGTCATTGATAACAATTCTGTTGTAAAGTGGGGAAAAAAGCACCATATTCTTAAATACAAGCATTTTTACATTCATAAAAATTCAAGACTTGATTTTGGTAGAGCACTTCAAAGAAATACAGATTTGTAGTTTAAATTGCATAAATCATTCTATCTACACTTTAAATGCTCAGCAGCATACAATACAGAAATAATCATTAAAGTGTACATACAAACAGAAAGAAAGGATGGATATGAACGCTAATGTTTTTTTTTTTAAAAATGATGCACACATAATTGTTTTTAAAGATATGTAAAGCATATGTCATGCTTTACTTTCTGGTACCACAAAAGAAAAAAGCTCTCCTAAATAATCAACTCCTTGTATTCTCCAAGTAAACTTGGTGAAGCTGGAGTTGACCTGGCACAAGGCTCATGAAAACATATAAAAACAACAGAATTTTTCCAACTGACAATAAAAAAAATATATATATACACATAAAGCTCTTTATAATGCATGTCTGCGTGTCTATGCACAGAAATCCTTCAATTTAGCTCATGTTAAGGAGTTTGATTTCTAAGATCAAATGGAAAATAGATCAGTACCTGGTAAATGCATTATATTTAGCTTTGAAAAGGTCCAACTATTAAAAATGCAGAGGTCCTCAAAACACATACCAGAAAGAAATACTAAAGGTACAGGAAATTAAAAACAAACACAAAGATCCTATACTATATGAAATACCATCCACACTTTCTGTAAAATATATATTTGCTTAACACTGAGTAACCTCAGTGCCTTCAGTGAGCATACTATAATTTGTACCGACTTCCCAGCGTGTCTAGGAAGAATTAGGGGCCAAGAGCATTAAAAAGGTGCTTTCATTCTCTTTTTTATGCCCTCAAGTAAGACATGCCAGCCTTCTTTTGAATTAAATTCCTATTGTAAAAATGTGCCTCAGTGTCAAAGGCCTCATACCCAATTACACAGTCCCACACAGGTTTCCTGCACTGTTACCACCTCAGAATGTTTAAGGCACATTGATATTGACACTTATTAAAAATTCTGTGAAAACACTATGCCTTATATTTCTTAAATATAGATTTTTTTTTCATAAATTTTAGGGGAAGGGTGACATGACTCATACATTTATCATGTAATAAAACACAGAATATATATTTAAGCTTTACCAAGTTTTGCCTCTAAATTCATTGTATCATTTGACGTTTCTAGATGACACACATCAATTCCTACTTAAGTACATAAGTAACTCTGTATCAGTACCATTGACATTTATTGCTGATAGTTCTCCAACAGCAGGTAATAGAAATGGCTTTAACACTTGGTAACATAAGCACAATATGACAGATTTCAGGAATCTGACCTGCATTTCTTGTGCAGGAAAAAGCATCCTGTTATTAACAGAATAGTTTTTGTACCATCAGAAAGAAATGTACCGTGATAAATGTTATCCATGATAACAGACAATGAAATCTAAGTTACTTCATAAAACTTCCCACTGCAGAATTAAGACTATAATACCACAGGAAGATCACTTTAGTTAACATGAATCATTTAGAAACAAAAATTAAGTTTATGAGAATTTTTTTCTACACGGGAAATAAAAACCCAGTAAGCTACCTTCAAAAGTAGATATTTTGTATTAATACGTACCATTATTATTTGCACAGAACAATTTACAATATCAACAACACTGTTAAAAAATAACAATGATTTAATTCCAATGGACTTGTGCTTTCAGCTGATCTTCCAGCAAGTACAGAGATAGAGCAAATGTGAGAACAAAATCAGAATTTCTTGCATCCATTGCTCCTGTGTAAGGACTAGCATGGCTCGTCCTTTGCTTCTGCTGAGCCCCATTAAAGCATCTGGAATTTTGACTGCATATACAAATGCACACCAAATTTACTATATTTACCTGCATTACCATAATTACCTGTTTTCACCCAGACACTGACTAATAATGACTATACACACATATAAATAAATTTTGCACATTTGAAGCAACTAAGAGTACACAATGACTTTAATTTAATTTTATCTCTCATTAGTTATGTGGGTAGTTCTGGTGCTGCAGCTCCTCCCATCTGTCTTAGCAACACTTGGACAGGCACATCCTATTATTTTTAAAAAATTAATTTCCCTAAAAAGGGGGGAGAAATACAAATGAAAGGGGAATCTGTCAATACACAAAGTGCTGACACATTCATCAGGTAAATAAGCTAGAAAATATACTTGCTTTAATTTTCTCCAGAGGCCTTAGCTAGCACTTGCTTTAGTCAGAAGCTAATTATACTGGCAGTATCCATTCAAAGGAAAAGTCCAATGCAATACAGGAATTATTTTAACTAGTACATCAAATTCACTGTGGGTTAATTTCAGACAGATGTGTATGTGTGACAGGTGTGCACACATACATTCCCTATGAGGGAATGGAGGCTTCCTTGCACATCACAGAACAGCAGCAGTTTGTGTTTTGGGAACTTAACTGGCCTGCTCTGTGGCATCAACAACCATAGCAAAACATAAGTCTGTGCTTCCCACATGCTGAGATGTGGAAGGAATTGTAAGAGCTGTATTTCACTGTAGGCTTGTAAAGACATCACACAAAAGCTTCACATGGGCACAGCTGACTTGTCCCACAGCAATGGCTTTTTTGAAGATGAGGATTTAAGACTACTGGGAAAGAAGTAATTTTAAGATTAAAAAGAGCGACTCATTGCTCTGAAAAATTTTCTCTCTGAAAAAGGAGAGAGACAGAAGCAGCCTAACTAGCTTGGTTTTTCCATTCTTTTTTTTCATAAAATTCCAGCTGTTATGAAAAGTAAGGTGCTCATCACTGTAAACCAACATAGCTCTCATGGCATCTAAAGTTCTTACACCTAACAGTAGAGATTAATACCAATGGTTAGTACCAGCAACAGACTGCAACTCTCCATGACAAAGTCCAAGACAGTTCTTACTCTAGGGAAGGATTTTTTGTAAATATATTCTTGAAAAATGACTTCATAATGTGGAATCCTTCATGGGACTTGAACCTACTCCTTGCTGAGACAAAGTGTTGAAATACCTGTGTGCCTTTGACAGATAACATGACTTATGTTGAAAGAAGAACATTTTCTGGTTTTACCAGCATTAAAATAATTGTTTACCCAGCACTGCCACACCAGTTTGGTTCTTTACATAAATTAGCATTCAGACATCATACCCACATGAATGGATTTGTGGATGTAGGCTTGGCTCACAAAAAAGTGCTACGCTAACATACTTTTAAGGCTTAATGAAGCACTGAAATACTGTTTTAATAAGTTTTTTTCCCAAAGCCCAGACCTCTGTTCTTTTAACCTCCACTACCATCTGAAAAGAAACCTGGGATGTTGTGCATTAATTTTTCTTAGGAGAAGCAATGTCTAATGCTAATCTCAGCAATATCAGTTCTGGAACACGTATAAAAGAATATATAGGAGGAAAAATGAGTCGTAAGGAGGAAAACTGGATGACTGCTTCAGGTAAGTACCAAATTATTTAGTCAGATGAAATTCTGGCCCTTCTGAAGTCAAAAGCACAAAATTTGCTAAATCACGTTTGTTTGCTGCTATCCAGACTGTAACCAACAGATTATTTCCCAGATGACTTTGCAGAAAACAAGAGAGCTTCTCTTGTATTATTCTATACACACAGTGTCCTTCAAAGAAAAGGCATGCACTTAAGTAGAAATCTTAAATGCTATTTAGAGGGACTAAAAAACCTTTGAAGTATCTTCACTGAGTTCTCCATGACTATGGATGAATAGTCATGTTTAGTAAAGATAAGCAATTACTTCTTTTTACATAAATAAATGCTCCTCTAATTTTTACAAAGTATCTAATCCATACAATTACCATTCATTTTGCAAATACTTTCCAGGGCTGTATGAATGTAATTTATCTCCGATGAGTTACTGCAACAGAAAAAAGACAATTTAGATTGTTGCCAAAACATGTAGCAAAGATTAGGTGAAGGTATGAAAGGCACGTATGTTCACAGTGCATTGTCAAATACTCAGAACTTCTTGCAGACAGTTCTAAAATTCTTCATAACTGATGACTGCCAGTGATTTTGGATGACACTTCAAACAATGTCTCCAAATTTTTGCTTACCAAAGGGTACTTTTTTTCTTTTAAATTTAAATATTAATCCTTATGATGTCAGTTCTGAAATGATGAAGATGGATTAGCAGCTTGTCCAAAATATCAGTTAGGTCTTGTAGTAAACACTTTCAAGAGGCACATGTTGGCAGAAAGCTTCTGAAGTTTCAGTCTGCAAGTAAAATTCCAATTGAAGTTTTAAAAGATTGGTGTGTTTGCAGAATTTAACATTCACTTGTACTTTCATGTGGAAGAAATTGATCCCTTTCATTTGCATTTTCAGGGTCATCCACTGGGTTCTTTTCTTGCATCCCACTATTTTCTGAAAAAGAATCATCATCTCCATCGCCACGATGACCTTCAACACTGTGTCTGATGCCATAAGCAAAGTAAATGAGGAAGCCTTCCAAAAGGAAATAAAAAAGTTCATAGGGTTTTCAGGCAAGTAGTACATTAAAAAGTAAATATTTCTCTCTGGCTGAACAGATTTCTGCAAAAAAATTTTCTTCTTCAGATATCTGAATCAGAGCTCATGCTTCAGGTCTTCCCTGTGTCTACAGGAAATTCCAGTACATCATTTTTGCATAATGAAATGTTCTAATAAGTTATGGAAACTCTTATCTCTAACTTATGTCTAGGTGGAATTAATACCATTTCCTAGATCTATAAGAGGACAGACTGATATACTTTCTTTATACAGGGAAAAAACCTGTTACAAGCAAGTTTCTATATCATTTTGGCTATACTTACTAGGAAAGAATGACTTACTGGAATTCTTCCTATTACCTAAAAGCTATATTTGTAATTTTGACTGCATAGAAATACTTCTTCTGAAGCATGCTCTTCCTTTTGAGTAGAAATATTAGCTGAATTTTATTAAATCACAGAGATTTTTTCAAATATTTGAAGGAAAATAATGTTCTAAAATGGAAATCAAGAGCTCTAGTCTATGAAGTGACTGAAATAAATAGAATACCAATACATACCAAGTAACATCCAGAAGCTAAATCTCATCCAAGTCTCCCCACTTAATTGTACCATCAAGTAAATATTTACCAGTATACTGAACGATGGCAAAAATGGCAGTAGTGGAACCTAAAAGGAAATATTTCATATGTTTCTGTTAAACATATTTTTTTTCATATCACAGTTCAGGTATGTAACACAAACTAGAGGTAACATATAATCACTAATAAAGAATTTAATTTTTTGCTGTTATAATGTAGTGAAATTTTCACTGGATTTAACCAACATTTTCTATAGATCTTAAACTTTTAAAATACATTATGTTTAATATACATTCTCTAAGGCTACAGACATCTTTCTAGTTTGTGCAGAACATATACTAACGAATTCCTGTCTTTACAGCTGAAAAATAATATATCTATCTCTCTTATTCTAAAATGCTCCCCCAGCTCCACCAGATTCCTTGATCTTCATCATTACATTATTTCCATAGACAATCTGATCTTAGAACATAAATGAAAGTGCAAAATAAAAGGACTTATACTCTGTATTAGGTCCAAAGGATTGTGGATTACACAGACAAGTGATTGTACACTCATCAGTTCCTGACTTCCTTTCCAGCCTTTAAGTTCTCTCTCCCACACATTAGAATCCATCCAAAGCTCTCATCAGAGAATAACACAGAGAATAAATTATTCACCATAAAGGCTACTTTCTGCTGGTTCTGAGGCTGCCTTTGGATGAGAAGAATGGTAACTATGAAGGATATCACCAATAAAGCAAGTAGGCCAATACTCCAGGGCTCCAAGTTAGCAATGAAATGAATCCCATATGTAATGAGGACACTCAAGCCACAAATCAAGCAAGCTGTATGAAAAACAAAATTACAGAAAGAGGTCACTTAATCTCTGCGTTGAAGAGAAAGTGACTTTTAAGAAGAGTGATATCAAGCTTCAACATGTACTGTTGTTATGAATATGTTTAATTATATGAAAATGACTGCAGATTAGGTCAATTCATCAAGAAGGATAAAAGCACAGAAAGACACATGTATGGCTGAAAGAAGGCATGTTATCAGTGGATTTTTAATTATTTCTTTGATATAATTCCACTATAAATGTAATGCATACATGAGTTTGGACAGCCCAATACTTACCTAAGAGGCCCACCAAAAAGTTAACTATAGCTGCAGTCTGCTCAGTTGGTAAACTGGATGGATTAATCAAGGCCTGAAGACGGAAGCGATTCTCTTCTATCATGTTTATCTGTGACTCACTTACTGCAGATTCCCTTCCAGCTGCAGCCAAAGCTGCTTTTTCTGGAGAGTGTTTTGGCTCTTCATAGGTGGGTTGGTACCTACACATAAAACAGAAGAACAAAAAACCATTGATCATAATTCCAGATTTGAAGTAATATGACTCTAGGAATGTACTGAAGTACTAAATTTTTTTCAGTAGAGCATTAGAACTTCCCAAGTTACAACTGCATTGAAACAGCATTATTAGTCACTATCATACATAAAAATACTATGGCCAATTCACTTTTTGGATTGGCTTGTTTGGACATTTTAATTTTTGGCAGTTTTTTTAAGCTACCTGAATGCACCAATATCTCAGATAAATGACCAGTCCTGTACAGAAAGACAGGACAGGGTCTGGTAGTCAACAGCAAAGCAAGAGTAAGGGATCTTGTTTCTGACTTGCTTCCCATACTATAAGAGGCTTCTAACTGGCATTAACCAAAAATTGGCATCCACTTTGTTAGCTTTTAAGTGTATTTTTATAAATATGTAAGGTATTAAGGTCCTTTTAAAATAGAATAGGCTTCTCTTTTAAAGTGTGAATTATTGCAACAATGAATTTAAGCTGAATTTAAGCTGTTACACTTTTCAAAGTTAATTACTTAGCCTTAAGTAATACAGGCTGACTTCTTAAAATAAAAAGAGCAATACATAATAAAGTGAGCTGTAGCTAGTCATACCTAATTCCATAGCCTCACAAAAATGACCGATACCAGAGTTTTACTGAAAAATAAATAATCAAAGTCATTACTTTCATTTACTTTACTGAGAAGTATTTATAATCTCACATATTGAGAGATAATATTTGCACTCTCTTCTAGGGCTACCACATCTTAAACCACTTTTCCAGTCCCGTATTTCTGACTAGGATAATACGAAGTAACTATTTGAACTTGTTCATCCTGTGAACCACCTAGAACACCCACACCTTCCACATATAGTCCCCAAAATGAAATATGCCTGATGTAAAGCATAGATGCTATCCATATACAAGTATCATTCACTGAATTCTGTACTCAAACTTATATTTAGTACCTTTGGGACTAATGCTTGGACCAATACTTCTTCTGGAAAATAAAGAGTTTCTAGATTTCACCAGAAGCTTAACCCAACTCACAACCATACTTGTGTAACAATATACCATTGTTTTCTTTGAGGAGTCACTGCTTAGAAACCATTTATATGCTTACAGCTACTGGCTATCTAGCAGAAAACATGTCTTCTCTTTATTTACTGACCAACCCAAAAAAAACCCCACACAAAAACACAGAGGATGTTTTTGGCTCACCTAAGAATGAGGACACAGGTTGCCACAAGTGAGTAAGCAAGAAGTGTGCCAATTGACATCATGTCCACTAAAGCCTTTAGGTCAAACAGAAATGCCATTATAGCTAAAAAAAGAAAAGAAATAGGAAAAATTCCAGGAGACTGACATAGAATTGTAGAATCATTCACACTGGTAAAGAAGTTTAAGATCCTCAAGCCTAACCATAAGTGCCAAGATTAATATTATAGATATATTAAGCTAAGATTTTAAAATCTGTCCAGTGTAACTTACTGTTTTACTGACAGCAATATGAGCAAAATCACGATAATCCTTAAAACCACATTTTTGAAGCTACTGGTAACATTGCATTCCCTACAGCTGGTAATCTCATTCATACAGGTAGGCACTGATGAGTCATACAGTCATGCTGCACAATCAAATGCTCATATTGGACTTTTTCAGCTGTAAGTATTTGCATTCATATTGTTGAATTTGGGCCATATTAAAAATACATTTTTATAGAATGAAATTCAGATCCTGCAGCAGAATCTCATCAAAGCTGAAAGGATGGATCCCTCTGCACATCTGAGAAAAACTCATTGTGACGTAAAATTTCTGCTGAGCTGGGAAAGAGCTCTACATGAAAAGTACTTTCAGGAGTTGTCTCAAACAAAATAGTTTTGTGGGAGTTTTTTTAATGGTTATCTTAATTAAAATAGTTTTCAATTCACCCTCAGGAATGAGCAGTAACCTTGCTCAGAATTAATATTCTTATATCACTGAACTTAGAGCAGAAACTTCCATGACAGTGGAAGTAATTATAGAAATCTTGTGTTTATAAAAGCTAATGCCACATTCATTTGGAAATTCTGGAATATCTTTTTATGGCTATGCTGTTTGCACACAGAAGCATTATTAATAAAGAAATTAGGAGAAGCTAATCAGTAATGAAAAGCTAATTGCAATTGGTTTGAAAAGTTGACACGTGAATGATGACATGACATTTGAATGATGACATGGGCTCAAAGAGCATCTTAAAATATTTGTATTTTATTAATATTTTTGAGCAGCAGATTTTTTGAATCATCAGTAATCTCAAACTCAAAAGAAACTATTAAATGTCTTTTTAGATGTCTATGTAGTGTTTATACACTGTATACACTGCGTATATATCCAAATTATTCTATATTCAAAATTAATTATGATTTTAATATAGAATTTGAATTTAAAATTTAAATATTTAGAACATTTATAATTCTATATTAAAATATTTATATTTCATATTTATGGTATGCATTTATTAATGTATTTGTAGACAGCTGCCTACATGCACAAACACATGGACACATGCTTCCCTGGTATTTGATCCAAAATGTGATTTTCTGAAAACAGGACTCCTGGATTACAGAACTTTAACAACCTGAGAGTCTCTTTTTCCAATTAAGAACGACCATCCTGTTTTCTTTAATGAGAGTGGACATTCCTAAATCCAAAAAGCAATTTGCGGTGTAGATTTTTTTAATACCTCTCTGCTTTTTATGCTCTAAAGAACAAAGCTGAGGAAGAACAGAACCTTCTAAAACCTCATGTACAGTAGCTATATTTAATTTTTAATCCCAGGTTTGAAAGGCTACTCTGTAGCCTGGACATTATTTAACTTTAGAAACAAAGTGAAAAATGCCTGCAAGTTTCTTCTTAGTAGTTCTTCTCTACATAAAAAAAAAAAAAAAAAAAAAAAAAAAAAAAAAAAAAAAAAAGCAGAATACTTCTTTTCCACCTTTCTTAATTTTACTCTAAGAGACAACAGTAGGTCCGTTTTTGGTGAAACTGGCCTGACACCAAAACATTCTGCCGTGTGCAAAGTTGTGCCATGGTGATTACCACCAGTGGAAAGGTCAGTCACATCATAACACATTGAGGTTGCCTCAGCTGTAACAGCTGTAGTCTTGACTTGATAACCTTAATTAAATATCTTATCTCCTTAACAGTTTTTACAGCTGTAAAACTATTCATGCTACAAATGCATAGAAAAGTCAGACAATATAAGCTGTCACATACATCCAGAACTATTCTGTCAAAACTGTTTATGGCCACAAAATATCAAATATGGATTTTTTTTAAAAAAAAAAAAATAGAAGAAATTACTCTTTCTCCAGCAGTAGGTAAAGCTATTTTCCAGTGTTGATGCACCAAATTCACCAGATTGTCTAAAAGCAGTCCAATGTCAGCTGCTGCAGAGCTACAGACAGGGCTGTATAACTGTATCAATCATTTTCCCAGCTGGTAATACACTATTCTTTCTTCTTATCATAATTGTGATTTCACATAAAGATCTTGATTTCATCCCACAAAACTGCACTTCCAAATTCTTATAGGAGAATATGTCAATAAGATAAATTCAAATAAAATAAAGTTGAAATAATAAAAGTAATGCTATGCAATCTATTTTTACTCTGGCCAAAGAAAAGGGAACTGATAATAATGCTTCATGTGGGAACTATCTAGACAATGACTGTATCTTTCTGATCTACTGTCAAGTATGCAGTGTGAGCAGTTCCAGCCTCCTGGCATCTGAGGATGATCCTGACTATAAATAAAAATATTATGGTCTCATGTCTGAACCTCTTATTCAAGATTACTTTTAGGCAAGGTTGATAAAAGTTCTAAGACATATATTTGATATTTGAATTACTTAAAAAACTAATTTATTTGCCTTTGAGCTAAATACTTCTAAAGCTTCCAGTTTTCTTGGGCAATTAGACATCCCACTAAAATGACGATGAAATTTGGGGATAGCTATACATACCTCTGCAAGAAGTATGAAGAAAAGTGAGACTTGTATGTTAAGAACTTAAAAGGAGTTGGAAACGGTTCCCAAAATATACATAGGCATGTATGTATATACATATATGTGCACATGAGACCCCAACACACACATGCCCCTCAACAACATCTTGGTAAGCTTATACAACAACAACCATTTTCTTTGGAAGAGAATTTAAAAATATCTTTGTAGTTTACAAAAAACTTGATCCTGCTGCAAATGTAGTTTTTTTCCTCATATCTCATAATAAAAAATGTGACAGTTATTTTCCCCCATTATAGATGGGATAAATATATTAGGTCTACATCAGACAAGAAAGCCCTCTCGGTAGAGCATTAGCCTAAGGGACTCAGATTAAGTAACAAGCTTATTCACCATACAGGGGGTTAATATAAAAAACAAAACAAAACAAAAAAATTGAATTCTGTGACATTAAGGCCATCACCACCACCATGATTGGCTTGATCTGGAGTTCTTACACCCAATGATTACTCAGTAATTTTATTCCCATTGTACATGCAAGGGAAGTTAACAAGCAGCCCTTTTCAAAAATATACCATGCACGTGCATAGAGTGTTGAAATCTCAGTTTTAAGTAACACGGGCTTTGAGAGCTTACCAGATATGACCCCTGTTGTCAAGGTGGCAGGAACTGGTGCCTGCCTCTTATTCACTTTGGCAAGAAAACTAAAGAGTAAACCATCACGTGCCATGGCAAACAGAATTCGGGGCAAAGGGAACATAGAGCCGAGAAGACTAGAACAGAAAAATGTATAGTTCAAGTACAGGTTATTAAAAGCACAATGCTTTACTGGTAAACCCAACTACACAAAAAGAAAGCTTGGAGGAGTTAATGGGTTTAGGTATAGTTTTGCTTAGGCTCTGTGTTGCTGCTCTTGGGATTTTGTTTGGTCAACTGATGTTCTTGGTTTTGAGTTATTGTTCATTTTGACCCTAGGCTTTGAAAGCACTTGAGTAAAACCAACAAGTAAAAATCTTGGTAGAGGTAGAGAAAAGTTTTACTGGTATACTACTTTACCTAGCAACAAACAAATTTGATCATTTCAGTCCAAAGCAAATCAAAGCTGCACAACAGTGGTTTATTTCCATATATGCAACATGTTTAGCAGTGCATCTTTCTTCACAAGGATCAACTCTTAGTCTCACCTGCTACTGCACCAGACGATAGAGTAGCAACTAGTGGGGTCTTCGTTTTGGAATTGATTTGAGCTAGACATTTGAAAAGCAACCCATCCTTCGCCATAGCATAGATTACACGTGGTATTGGGAAAATGGATCCAAGAAGACTGAGTAAAAAGCAAACACATGCAACATGGCAAACACAATTCATGCAGAATTGTATTCATGGACAAGATAAAAAAATGTTAATTAATGGCATGTAGAGAAACAAAATGTATGGTTGTAAGACAAAACCAGAAAGCCCCATAGCCCAAGGTACTACAGATCAGACACAAATAGATTTTTTTTAACTGCAAAGATGATTTATTATTATTAAATTAATTTAGGTAATGAAATTTCTTCATCAGACAGAATCCAGATTAACAAGACAATTCTTGCCATCACCGTAGTTCTTGTTTGTTAATGGACCAGGAATATGTTCTAGATCACACTAACTATGCAATTAAGCTTTAGTATTCCTGGAGAAAGTCTGTCAGTCAGCAGCAACAAATAAATAAGCGTAAGCAGTATCCCTTAGACTCCATATTTCCATGTAAGCCTGTTGATTAACAGTAATTCAAAGTAAGCACCATACAAATGTACTTGGGAATATTAATTATTTTGATTAAAGCACCTCTAGGCAAGCTCCATTAAGACTTTTCTTCGGAAGAAGTAAAGCTAATTTTATTTAGATTGTTATTAGCAGAACACATAAAGCTTTTAAACTATTGATAACTTGAAGCTCTTAAACATTCTTCTTAAATTAGTTGGTTTCTTTTTCTCAAAGAGAAATACTTTTAATTAAGAAAACAAAATGTGAAATCATAGCCAGTATAATCTCTGCAGCAAGCACACGGGTTTTTAACCAGGTGAAGGGTTTCCTTTCCTGCTTTAGAGAAACAACTATATCACTTAAAGAAGGCACAGCTCTTACATACTACAGATGCTAGGTACAGTAATGCTTGTGAGACACAAGTATGAATGGTAGAGAGGAGAGAAATTTTATTGCAAATGAACTGATTTTGATTTATGAGTGTATCTTTCTCAAAGAAGCTCATGAAAATGATTCCTTACCTACATGAACTCAGGTAAACGATTGGCATCAGCATTTTTCTATCCCTAAATTCAAGTATCAAGCAATTTTCTATCTTATTAAAGTGTTTGTATCATATTACAATGGGGTGTAATATATTCAAACACATACTAATACATATTGTGCCCTCTCTGATCTTTTTAACCAAAATAGTACGTCACGGTTACATTCACAGTTTCACAAAGAGTAATAAATTATAATATTTTCATAGCTATAATCTACATCTCAAATACCCACACAGAAACCACAGGAAGGGATGATGTCAGAAGACAGACTGGCTACTGGAGGAAAACAGAGAGAGCCAATGAAGATGAGGAGTGCAGCTACTTAATCATGTCTTCAATTTTGCCTGCAAATACACAGTGCCCATAAAGCTGCTGAGTCACTGGGAATGAACAGAGCAAAAGGACAAATGGGTGAGGTTTACTTTGTCAGTTAATAAAGATAACTTGCAGATCATATGTTTGAAAAGACTTACTTATATTTAAAAAAAAAAAATTGATGTAGTAAGTTTCTGCCAAAGAGGTGGAGTTCAATAACAGTACAGTTTAAAAAAAGGAACCTAAATTAACACAGCTACTGTCATGTAGACCTGCTTAAGTTTAAGACTTGCTTATAATACTTATTACTAATTCTTCACACGGACTGAGCCTTCAAAATGAACACACGAACATACGTATAAATGTAATATATTATTCATCAGCTTTTCCCAATAGAATTAGTATTTCAATGTCTTTACCTTGTAGACAAAGCACAGAGGGATCCCACTGCTACAAGATATTTAGCAGGACCCCATCCAACATATTCAAATGCTACTGGCAGAGGACTTTTCTCATCTAGCAGATAGTATGGCATCATAAGTGTCAGTGCAGCTGAAACCCCAAAATAGGCCATGAAGCAGACAAGTAGGGACACCACAATTCCTATGGGTATGGCTTTCTGAGGATTCTTGACCTCTTCTCCTGAAAAGAAAAGAAAATGCCCCACCAAAAAAAAGAAAAGAAAATGCCCCTTCAGCTTTAAGAGATAACATCAAAGACAAATGACTTGTTAATCTAAGTCATGGGAATTGTATCCATAATAGAAGTTTTAAAAACCTGAGTAAAGGAAACTGAGGCACACAAAACCCAGTATTTTGTTGTCAGAAATAGTGTTAAAAGAGTGGTAAATTAAAGGTCATAAAACAGATTGTATATTCAGAGTACTCCAAGCCCATAATTTTTAGTTATTTACCTACACTCTCAATGTACTCATTCCCTATCAGCCATTAGGGAAGACAGACAACCTTATCTCAGAGAAGTGTAAAAGTGAGCAGGTGATTAACATTATTCAAGTAGAAAAATTGCATACTAAGCACTTCCCAGACTTAGAAAGCAGCAATCATTCCTTTAGAAGAGGAATAAAACAAGCAGAATTTATTCCTTCCCAGAAAGACAGCCACGTTCAGGAGTGAACTTATACTCATTCTACATCGATTGAAAGAGGTTTGGAAGCAAACAAAGTAATAAGAGTTGACAGATTATATTGTTTGTGATTCTTTGGGGTTTTTTTGCAAAAATCTCCCCACGCTAAACATATATACCCACACTTATAAATACTATACCAGTTGTTGCAATGCAGTCAAATCCAACAAAAGCATAAAAACAGGTTGCAGCACCAGCCAATGTTCCTGTGAAATGGTATGGCATAAAGCCACCACTCCCATACATACTCGTCACGTTTTCATAGGATGAGCGGTTCCTATAAAGAACAAAAGTACAGCAGAATTACAATCTTTTTTTCCCATTATTGGTAGGATAAATACCTGCACCCTCCTACACTTGAAGTCTGAAAAAACAGTTTAAATGTTCTCATCATGACAGAGGTCTGCTTTACAAAACTGAACGCAATGACATTTTTATGTCCAAGCTTGTAAGAAAGAAAAATAACAGCAAAAGGAAAAATATGACTCAAATAACTATCATCTTACTTGCTTTGAAGTTTGTGAGAAAACATTAAAACACTAACAGTGTTTATTATAATAAAGCATGTGTAAGAGAAAACTGCTAAGAATATGAGCAAGTAAATAGATTTTTAAAAATTACTCTGTTACTGCAGTAAGGTTTCTGAGATATTCTTCACTTATCTTCCAGTTGTCAATTTCACCTTTCACAAAACCAGAAATCATAACGAAGAATAGGACCAAGATGTTAATAGCAGTGAATATTTTATTCACCCATGCAGACTCTTTTACTCCAAAAGATAAAAGACCTGTAAAATAAAAATATTTTATAGATGTGAATGGCCTATTATACTAATAAAATGGCATTTTAAAGAAGCGATACATGTAAAAGAAGGTGTGTGTATATATATATATATATGCAAGTACTGTGAATAATACTGCAAAAGCATCACCAGATTAAAAAAAAAAAGCATTATCACAAATTTGCTAGACTTTTTCAATAGCATGGCAACAGGAAAATATATTGGAAACTACAAAAGAGAAAGCTTCTTCTTTAAGTATTTAACAGTATTTTTAGCAATGGCTACATTATACTTCTCTGAGATGCTCTGTTTTATGTTATGGAGTAAAAGTAGCTACAAGAATTCTGTGCTTTGTAAAAACAGATTGGTATAATATATTCTTTACAGAAGAATTATCTCTTAGACTAAGAAAACAAGCACAATTATTAAATTAACAATGTAAATGATTGACTCTACATTTTTCAGGGCACATCCATCAAAGTCCTATGTCCTAGCTCATTAATAAAAGCTTTAAAAGAAATGCATGCCTCCTCTTTGCAACACTGATGCATAGAGATTCTAGAAAACAGTCAGACACCAAATACATATGGCTTTATATTACAGAGTAGAGCATTTAAACAAGCTGAAAGTTATTTCATCAGGATTCTATTTTATCATTAGATTTTTAATAGTTTTAAGTATTAAAGTTTAAAGCATTAAAGCAATTTAATGAAACAGGCAGTGAGCAGATCAGAAAAAATTAAATACAATTGGAAAGTTTTCACAAGTCTCTTGCACTCAAAGCATTACCATTAATATCACATACATACTTTCCCTCATTATTTAGAGATTAAGTCTGAAAATTTTAAGCCTCTCCAAATAAAGTCTAAAAAGTTTCTGACTTTGCTAATGAGATATTTGCTATCTTATCAGAACACAGAAATTATCTTATGAGCTTCTAAATTTTTCTTCTCCAATGATATTTTTATTGAAATTGATGTATGCTTTCTTCAGCTCAGTTTTTGCCCAAAAGGCAGTGTCTCAATCAGCCTAATGCAGTGTGAATCATAGTATGTGCATTTTTAAAGCCCTTTCGTTATCCAAAAAAACAAAACAAAACACCACACAAAAAAAAACCCAAATCAAACAAACAAAACCCTAAAAAAACAAACAAGAAAACCATAACAACAAAACCAAAACAAAACAAATTAAAAAACCAGAAAAAAACCACCAAAGCCCAAACCCCAGATTTCTGTGTACTTTCCCTTGTGCTTCCCTCGTTCTGTAAAACATCACCTGCTACTCCTATGATTCAGCTTTACACAGCTCCAATTACTGTATCATGCTCAGCCTACACAGTCCTGAGCCATCCCCACTGCCCCTTCTTTCAGCAGTGGGGAATTCCACCCAGTTCACTCACTGGGGGTTTGGTTTCCTATCACAGACACCTGGAGAGGCAATTTGTAGTACCAATGTGAAAGGAGTAAGGAAGAAATGATGGTAGGGATGAAAAGACAGGATACAAATGAAAACTCAGGAGTGGTTATGAACAACAGGGGAAACATTTCCTTTTTTTTCAAGAGCTTCTAATTCTTATGTTCTGAAGCTGCAATGGGAGTGGAGAAAACACAAAAGATGTCAGCATCTAAACTAGGACTGTATAGTTTGGTTTGTGGAATTTCGGTGCTCTGCTTTCAAGAGTGTTATTTTTTGCTCCTTTATTTGGAAGAGGAAACTGACAGGTCTGCTACAGTTATGTTCCACATTCATTCCCAACCCTCCTGAGGACATAAGGGTCTGAACTATAGATCCTATAGGCAGCTCTGAGCCACAAACATGGCAGGATACTGGACTAAACCTAGTCCACTCCCAGATCTTCCTAAGTATAGGAAGACATTCTTTTTTGTACAGAGACCTAATAAGCCTTCAGATGCACTGGTCACTCATCCTAGCAGTAGGTAGAGCAGAAATGTTTTCCTGTGACAAAAAAAGAACCCACTCAGAACAAGAGAACCAGAAAACAGGTTATAAACATATAACTTAGTTTTACTTTCCAGAGAAGAAAAGCTCTTGCTTTGGTTTAATCCAAAGAGAGACTGAACATGACAAGTACATGAGATATGGTTAAGACTTCTACTGAATATTGAAATGCTTCTAGTATTGCCTGAAAACAAGCTGTACACTTTAGAATACACTTCCTGGTTCCTTCACTTCCAGAGGCAAGGGGAACATTTCCATGTGGTAAATAATTGTTAAATGCAAACATGGAAATAAGTTGCAGTATTTTTGAGCTTTCTGATCCCTCAAATAGCAGGTAGCTAGGGTCAGTGTTTGCAATTTAAAAGCACGATACATGAGTAAAGACAAAAACAGGACTTGGAAGAATAGACAGGAAAGGTTTACTCAGGTTTCAAACTGGGCTTTTGGTCCATATAAGTACCTTGGGGTGCCCTTTAGGTCAAATAAACTCTAGGATAAACAATTGAAGACTTAAAAAGGGGAACGTTATTATATACCAAATAAGTGAACAATTTAGATGGAAAAACCCCATTACAAATGGGTAATGCCCACTACATGCACAATATATAATTTAAGGATACCCCATCACCAAACTACAGAGTTTAACCTTCAGGCCACTCTGAAAGCATTTACTTGCAATAAAGCCATGAAAACACAGAGACTTGTGTAATTTTCCTGTTACCGTCAATCTCTATCATGGGTTTTATAGTGATTAGTGATTAGTTCATGTCTCAGTTTCAAGTGAAGAGGGTGCATGTGAAAATTTTATTATATACATTTAATTCACAGAGCCATTCTGCCAATACCAAATGTGCCTCTGAATTTCCTTAAGGTGTTTCTGGTGAAAAACCCTAAAATTTAGCACTTTGATCTGTAAAATATCACAACCACCATAAACTAAATCGTACATTCTTACCCGATAAAAGTAATATAAGGAATACAGCGAAGAAGTCAGGATACTCTGCTAGCCCAGAGTAATTAATTTTGAAGTAGGCACTGAAGAAATGACCAATCCGTTTTCCAAGAAGTTCATCAAAGGTGCCGCTCCAGGCTCTTGCTACACTTGATGTACCTTCATAAAACACATGCATGTTTAGGGTTTTACATCCCTACTGTGGGACACAGCTGCTTCTACTGAAAAAGAAACGAAACTTAGCCTGTTGCTACTTGTATTTGAAAAAGCAGAGCCTGTGATGTTTGTTTTGCTGAAGAATTTTCATGTTTAAGAATTTTGCTTATTAAATGGTAACAAGTTTTTCTAGAACCAAAATATTTTGGTATAAAATAAAAATAAAATAAATAAATAATAATAATAATAAAAAATAAATAATAATAATAAAATAAAAAAGTATATACTTTTTCCCCCTCATTTAGTCCTAAAATAATGCAGAAATTATTTCTGTGTCATTTATGCCTGATCCTGGAAGAAGCTTATTTCTAGAATTCCAATATGACATATGTTAAACAACAAAAAAGTAACATAAGAAAGCACTTTAAGAAAGAACATGAAGGAAAGTTTGCCTACCTGTAATAAAGCAAAAAAACCCACTTTACTACCAAGATATATGCTACTGGAGTCTGAATTTAAAATTAATACTCTCTTGTGGTAAAGAGTGCATGGCCAAATACAATTTATTTATATACACTTCTCTCATTAAATACATTTTAATACAATACTGGGGAAGATCAGTTTTGTAATGATTTGAGTAACCATACTGTAGGCATACATCTAAAGCTAGGAATGCTCATACAGAATATAATAGAAATTTGGAACACATTCCTCCGGGAGGAATAATTTTTAAATCCAAAAATCTTATCTCTGCTGGAGCACTGAAATAGCTATTTGACTATCTGCCACATAAGCATTGATTTTATTCCCATCTGGTCAACTTTGTATTTTGTGTGATTACCTGATAGGACAGCAGTTAATTAGCACAAGGACATAATAGCAAGTTAGTACTTAAACACCATGACTTTACTGTAAGATACTATTGTGGAATCCTTGTAAATGTCTTTGCTGTGTATATTCAGAAAAAAAATTATTCTCGATTTTACTGAAATTATTTTTGCTGAACAAGGATGGCAAGTAAGCCCTGTTTATTCTTGTGCATTATCAATGAATTGTCTGACACAATCTTCATAAAAGGTATGTGATTCATACCTGCTAAACTGTTACAAAAATGCTTTGTAAAATCCCTGTTTGCAACGGTGATGCACAGAAAGAAATAACCTAATCAAATTATTTTGGTTACTTCATCTCAGCAGGACTAAAAAGAAACAGGAGTTAAGCATAAAGACGGAAAAGGAAAACAGCCCTAAGTCTATATCTTCTATCTGCTGTCTCAGAAACCCCTGGGACCAGTGTTTGCTCTTAAGCTTACCTATAATATAGGATAAAATGAGATTCCAGCCAGTGATAAAAGCCCACAGTTCACCTACTGTAACGTAAGTGTACAAATATGCAGAACCAGTCTTGGGAACACGAGCACCAAACTCGGCGTAGCAGAGACCTGCCATCACAGATGCAAGGGCAGCAATGAGGAAAGAAACAACGATGCTAGGTCCAGAATCAGACTTGGCTACTTCTCCAGCAAGGACATAAACACCAGCACCAAGGGTACTTCCTACGCCCAGGGCTATAAGGTCCAATGTTGATAAGCATCGGCACAACTTGGTGTCCTCGAGACTCTCACCATCGATGTTCTTCTTCCGCACCAGACATCGAATAAAGGACAGAGCTGGTCCACAGGGCAACATGGCGGATGTAGAGCTCTGAAATAAAGGAAATTATATTTGCAGTATGCAAAAGGTAGTGCAGACTGTGGTAAAATACAATGGGAAAAAGTATTTGCGTGAAGAACTTTAATCACATCTACTCACTAATATATTCACACTGTTTTGTGACATTAAATAAGATGGCATGTGCTTTTTCCCCAGGAAACAAATTAGAGATACACTATTTCTAATTTTATATGTAGCACTTATGTCCCCAGGGAAAAAGATCCATTATCTTTAGGTTTATTACATTGTTGTAAAAAAGAAAAAATGTTTCTAATTATCTGATAATGGCCACTTCTTAACCACTTCTAAAACTGAAGCAGCCTATTACCTCATATATCATAGAGCCTTTTAAGATAAGGATCAACACCAACATAAATAAGGGGCTTGGGGACCTGAAACTAAGACTATAAACAGAAAGAGTTTAAAATACATTATTCAATATCCTTTTGTCTTCAGATACATAGCTTTTGCCCTTAGAATTTGCCTCATGAAGAACTGCTTGAAACAGATTAAAATAGTGTTTCTACTCTCTCACGCACTGAAATTTCCCAGATCTAATTATCCTTACAAGAAATCTTGCACACCTCTGCCTAACAATCATCTAACAAAACCTGATAGGCTAACTGCTCATCCCATGCCAGCTGCAGTTCTTCAACATTCTGAGTGCCCGGCTCAGTGTGGGATGTGATCAGCTCTAGCACACAAGCTCAGAATCTGTGACCAACCTGGTTCTGGAGGTGAGCAGTACTTCTCCGGCCTGTGATATGGGTGCCTGCTAGGAAAAGCAGGGATCCAGCTTCCCAACTAAAACAAATGGTCACTTGAGGGTCCAAAGCTTCTTCTTCAGAGGGAAGACATGGGCATCCCATAGAAAATAATATTTTAAAGAAGCAACATTAATGTAAAAGTTCTGTCTATGTATTTGTTTGAATTGTATTGTTGATGGCTAAGAGTGTGGTAAGAATAAAGCAATACCATCTGTCTTCTTTCCAAACTGCTGTTTTTCTTTGCAACTCATACCACAAATATCTGTACTGTATGATTTTTTAAGTGAAACCCTCCTGGGAACTGAAATCCATTTCATTTAGTGGAAGATATTCTGCTGGTTTATTCCTTCCTGGTCTGTATCAGTTTCCTAGAACAGTAAAGGACATTTCTACTCACACTAGTTCAATCCATTAAAAGTGATGACTTCGTATTAAGATGCATAGCTCAATTAACAGTGTTTGATCCTAAAACAGAGTCAGAAGCAGAGAGTATCAGGAACTCTGCCTTCCCTATAGAAGATTGCTTGGGGAAAAAAAAAGTCACCTGAGATGAGAAAGAACATTTTCACCCTGTTGCTGTAATAACTCCCCAGGTACACTCAAACATGCCACTTCTGCTTTCAAAGAGCACCCTTAAGAAAAAAGGTCTTCATTCCCTTTTAAGTAAAGGGAATTTGACAAAGGATAGTGAATGGACTTGAACAGCTGTGGACAGCGATGCTTAATCCCCTTAGATAGGTGGTATGTGGCCCAGGACAGTGGGAAGAGGCAGACCTGCAAGTTTCCAAAGCTCTGCTGCAATTAGGCAGTCCTTTCAGCACATTTGACTCCCAGAGACAAGAACCTGCCCATGGTATGTTGACCAGTTACAGAACTGCGATGATATTCCTGTCGGTGGAGATCCACAATATCTTCTAAGGGAATTAGCATTGGACTGTTCAGGCAAAGTCCCCTGCTGTGTCTCCTGAGATGCCATCTTCAGGAACAGCAGCCTTTCTTTGGGCCTGAGGCTGAGGCACTCCATTCCCACATAGCCAGGTTTATTTTTCCTGGGCTGTACTTAGACAAATATTCTGAGGCCACTTTTTTTTTCCCTAATGACAGTTCTGAAGCTGTAGCAACCACTTAGGATGTTATATTAATATGCTCATTAGTCTGCAGCCCATGTGACATGCAGCAATGAATGCTCTTGTGACTCCATGCCCTTCATCTTATCAATTTCAATGTTGCAGAAACATAGCATTTTTAAAGGAATTATTTCTCCCTCCCTCCAGATAATATTTCATCTGGCAATTCATTAACAGGAAAAAATACTCCGGCAGATCCTGTTCTCAGACCACTAAGGAATTTCCAAGACTCTTGTTATTCAAATGGCATCTCAGATTGTTTTGCTTCTCTGCCATCTGGGACACAAAGTCCTGAAAATCCTACAGCCATTTACTGCAGAGGCCAGTAAGTGATATTATGGTTTTTCTCTCATGAGAAGGAATCCTTATGGCAAAATAGGAGGAGTTTTTCTGCTTCTGATTTCTGCTTCTTGGAGAGAGGAAGAAGGCTAGTTCTTGCTAGCCACAAGCCAGTAAAAGACATTTGTTATGACAGAAAATCAGTCTTACTTCTTTAGCCTTTAGAAACTGGAGCACAACAAAAGACAAAGTTCAACATACAAACTTTGTGTCTGTAGAGGGGAAAAAAAAAACCACCTCATGTGCACGGCAAACTTCTTTTTGTAAGTATATCCATCCCAACATGGACTTGGCAAACACACCTTCTTTTACAACAACCACTGGACTCCAGCACATCTTCCACAGTTTCCTATACTTGGTATGCCTAAACTCATAGCAAAAAATGCCCAAACCCTGCTTCATTATTTCTGTTGCTGCATGCAAAGTGCAGCACTGTACCTCAGGCATGGCCCCCTTTCAGATTTGGCTGAGATATTCCAAGACTTCATACTTGATAAGACAGTGCAGCAGGAAGAACTGATGAGCTTACAAAGCTATTTGGCTTCACACAAGAGAAATGACATTGCTATGAGGTGGCAAGTGTCTCCAGAAATAACTAACAAGTGTAATGTTTTTCTGAGGCGTCCCTTTTAAAGCAGATCCTTTCATGTGTTACTCCTGCGAGAGGGTAATGCATTACCCTCCATCCTGAGCAATGGCTCGCTGCTGATGTGTGCTGACTCAGAAGCAGTTTATCAGAACACTGAGGCAGAGCACATCTCATGCTAAAATACAAACCTAGAGAAGCAAAGCAGGTAACAGCTGGGTTTTCCTTTTGGTGGCAGCATTGTCCTAGACAAGTTTATACTGACTGCCACCAAGCACTCTTATAAAAGGTCTCATTCCTGCAGATTCACAGCTCTTATTCCTGAGTTTGGACAAATATCAACTGATATTCTGCTGATCTTTATGCAGAGTGGAACATGAAGTAGGGCAAGTGAACACATTAAAAAATGATCTCTCCTACTTTTTAACTAGCAGGTTTCAGTATTTTCCTAACTGCTCCTTTATTCTTCCTCTTTTTGTTGCTGCAGCCTTACCCTGCCTCATCCTAGCATAGGACTGTGGGCTCTGCTTCATCTTGGCCTCTACTGCCGTGAGCCCTGCCAGGGCTGGCCTGGTCCCCTGCTGAATGTGCTGCACAGCTGAAGAGCACTGACTCTACACTGAGCCTTCCTGGGAAGGCACCCTTGACAGCTTGGGAAAGGGGGTTTTTGATAATTACACTGGGTAATCAATCAAGAAGGAAATGAGTGCTTTTGAGGCATCTCTGGTGCAGTCCTACATTTCCTGGAGCAGAGGTGGACACGTGCCTGCCTTTGAACAGAAGTGTTAGGCATGTAGCCTGCAAGGACCACCTGCCAGGGTGGACTGTATTGTTCATGCAGTTTAAACAGAGAAAATATTGAATCCTGATCTTATACAGAATTTAAACATAGTCAGTGAGTGATATGAAACCACAAAGGAAAATCCCTTGAACTCACCAACAGTATGCAGTTATTTCTAATTAAGGCATGGAGCAGACAGAACCTGATGAATCTCTCATGTATTCCAACCTGTGCTAGGCTCCACTTTGAAGTCTGCTTCACAGAGAGCACTGTGTCACAAGCAAGGCAAGCTTCATTTTGTCACACGCAAACACCTGTGAAGTGTATTTGTTACCAATGTTGGCACATTCCTTCTGCTGCATACAGCTGAGGGGTGGCAGCTCTTCCATTCTGCATGTGCTGGACCACACTTCTGAAGTCACTTTAGACCAAGTTTTAATTTAGCTGCAGGTTATGCTATAAACATGGAATACGCCTCCAACAGTCCTCCAAAAAAAGGCAGGTCGCAGTTCAACTGCCTTAGACTTGAGGACCAATGACCAGCCCTTACAGAAACCTCCTCCTTCCTTGAACAAATTCCTAGAAAGAACTGCTAAGCCATCCACACTAGAGTTTAGTTTTACCCCTTCAACAAAGATACAGGCAGGAGAGTAGGACACAATTTAGACAGGAAAAAAACTTGACAGATTTATCTAACAGGGGAGGAAAAAACAAAACAAAACTTTCTTATGTCTGATGGACTTTCACAGTATTTGTCAGAATAATGCCCGAATAAGCAGGTATTCTTCTGATCCCTTTTGTTCTTTATTATCTTTGTTAATTTTTTTCTCTACAGTATCTGCTGATAAAATTATCTTAATTTCAGCCTCTTCCGGCCAATTGTAAACCAGATCATTTACTGCTTGTCCACTACACATCTGAATGCCAGTCCAAAAAGATGAGTTCAGCCTTACAATTTGTACCAGCTTTTTGTTCAGGTGGATGATCAGGAACATTTAATTGTCATCTAGTGCTAGCCCTCTTCTGTCAGGAAATGTGTGGCGTCAAAAAAATTGTAACTAAAAACACAATGTAGGGACTAAGTCTCTATCTGCAAAGATTATATCAATATTTAAATCTGCTTTGACTGCTTCACAGTCATATAAAATCTACCATTTCTGCAAATTATTTTTCATGTAATAATAATCTAACCTAGCCTCCTATTCCACACAAAACTCAAAAAGTATGTGGATATTGGAGCAAAAAAAAAAGGTAACTTACATAATGTGTCAATAATTTTATTTCCAATAAAACAAAATTTTAATTTAATTGTCTCATACATGTTTTAATTTAGTACACATTAAACCAAATCTACACAGGGGAAAATCCAAAGTTTTGCTCCAGTTGCCATTCAACTTTTCCCACAAAATTTTCCATTAAAAATTCTAATAAAAATCTCACATGGAAAGCAAATGTTATAAATCAATATGAAACCTCTGAAAGTTTTAATACTGCTTTGAGATTTATGTTTAATGATTTTTGAAACCAAAATAAAATAAAGATATTTTATTCAAAACTATTCTGTTGAGCTAGTATTATGCAACATACTGTTAATTTTAGATGCAGTAGTTAAACATTTTAAACTGCATAATTAATAATAAAATACTCCAATCAGTTTGTAACATATTGAATATATACTATTGAATATATACTGGTTAATACAGATTAATTTAGCATCTTTTTTTCAGCCTCATTTTTCCTGTGAAACCTGTAAAAGTTTATGAAATTTTTTCCTATTACATACATGTAACCCTATTCAAAATAGCAGTATTACATTTATTAGATCTTGTGAAATAAGACATAGGTAGAAAATTAAAAGAATTCAGAGACGAAGCAAAACAAGATACAGTCTATGACGTGCGTGTGTGTATACATATGCACAGAAAATGCATTATTTTAGTACAAGTGTCCTAAAGGTTCCTGTAGTGCCTGAGACTTTCACAAAACTCCTAACGGCTTGAAATATTTAAAGTAGCATATTTCAATAATAAACCTTAACATTAGAAAGCAGCACCTGTAAAAGAAGTATAAGATGCATAAAAGGGAAAAGCAAAGAAAGTTTTATCGTTCAAAAGCAGAAACACCTTCTAGTCAGACTGGGAAGGAAAACATAACTGCATCTTCTATATATTAACACTGAATTTTCACTTCACCGAAGACAGAAATGTAAACAAACTGCACACCATGGCTCTTGCTACTCCAACAGCACATAATTTAAAGGCAAGGTTTCCTAAAATAACCCAGGTTGATTTCAGGTTACTTCTTTCAGCAGTAAACTTCATTACTAACCTGATTCAGAGCAACTTCTGCTAGGTAAATTTCTTCTCCTCTTACTCAGTCCTGAACTCCTGCTGTCATAAATGGAAGAGTAATGACATAAAGTGTTTTTATTAAAAGACTTGCTTTAAAAAGCCAGCTCCAGGTGGTGTGGGGGCCCTCAGTTCTGAGCGGGGAGAGGGGTGGAGGCTCGGACGACCAGGTGATTGGAGGGCTGCAAGCCGGCGAGCTATTTGCCAAGCAAGCAAGCAAGCAAGAAAGCAGGCAAGCAGGCAGGCAGGCAGGGAGAGAAGGTCTTGCTGGTGTTCAGATAAACAATATCTACTGTCTTCATGACAGAAAACCCAACTTAAATGCCATTTCCTGAATTTAAACACACCTGTGTCAGGGAAACTATTCAGACATCCTGAAGGAAATGCATGGGAAAATCCCACTGTGATACCAAGCAAAGTCCTTCCATTGCCCTTGTGAAAAACAGTTTTTGAAGCATATTGAAGGATGCTTTGCAATGTTTTGAGACCGGAGTAAATTTTAGAAGAACATAATTTCAAAAGTATTGCTATGGCTAGAAGCAACACAGAAGGCTATATATTTACAGAGATGGGTTAGAGCCCATTCTGTTGAACTGGGGTAGGTGTACCATAGATGATATTCTCCTTTATATGGCTTGAAATGAAAAATGCTGAAGACTGGACTTAGAACAAGCCAAACCTTCCTGTGATACAATGAATAAATAAACCTCAGTTTCTTAAAAATTAGCTTCCAGAATAAACCAAACCCCTATGTATAATTTACAGCTGTATATTTATTACTTCCAGTGGTGGACAACCCCACTCCAAACATGTAGTAGTATTCCCAGCCAGTATTATTCACAGGATATTGTTTCCTTCTAAACACTCATGTTTCCATCTCTTTATTTTTGTTCAGCTAACATAAGATAAACCTTGCAGAGAGAAGTGCTATGCTTCTCATCATTAAAAGGTCTTTCCGAGCAAAATAGGTAGAAAAACACATTGTGTGGCAGCCCGCTGCAACTTTCTCTCAGTTTTTACTTTTGCTGTTGTGAAAAGTCTGCCAGTGCTCCAGAAGCAGAGAAAGTTCCTCCTTTTAGCTTCATGAATAGCCCTGCTTTCTGCAGCCACATGTAAGGGAAGAATAAAAGCTGTCCTCAGCTTTCCCAGATCCAAGGAGAAATGCATCCAGTAAACTGCGCTCCACAAAGATGGACTATGTTTCAAGACCAGCTTACATTATCCAAGGCAATCATCTTTTTACAGGCAAAAACATATTAAGAGAAAAGGTCTTTTTTGCTGGAGGTCTGCTGATGACAATGCTAATGCTTCTCCTCATGTTGACCTCATCCTTGTTAAAGATGAACTTTATCTCTTTCGCAGTTAATACACAGTCAGAAGATAGAAACAAGAAGTTATGCTACAGGTTAGGTTTCTTGTGCAGAAATGCATGACAACCACTTTTAAGGAACATCACTCTGACCTGTGACAATATCTAGGCATTTTTTTACTAAACTAGCCCTCTCTAAATAGTCCATGAATGACTCAAGAATTACTCAGATGGCTCTTGAATATCTCCAGTGAAGAAGACTCCAAAACTCTAAGAGCAATCTGTGACAGTGCTCTGGTCACCTGCACAGTAAAGAAGTTCTTCCTCATATTTAGCTAGAACTTCCTGTGCATTATTTTCTGCCCACTGCTTCTTGTTTTGTTGCTTATCCCCTGTCTGTGATAATAATTCATCCCTGGTAGCACCAGTACACTTACGAATCCTTACAATGACAGGGCTGGGCTGCTTTGGTTTGTCTGACTTTCTAAAACTTAATCCTGCGAACAGTAGCACACAGAAGCTACACTGCTAAAGGCATTCAAACCTAGAACCCTCCTGGCTCCCAGTCAAGAGGCAGGGAGCATGCTGCTTGGTGAAATAAAATGGTTTTCATCTGTCCCACCTCAATCTAATGCACTGTGGGGTAGACCAGTATACCCTCATCACGCAGTGTTTGGATCTAAGTTCCTATGGACAGACACTCAGACACAGTTTTGGGTGCGTTTTCAGTGACACACGCTTGAAACGTCAAGAAGACCACGCTGTGACCCAGCAAAGGCCATTTTTGTAGATTCAGCTGACAGGTGTATTTGTTTGGCTGAGGGTGTGTGACAAAGATGTTCATACAGGGCCGGATCTTGTGGGAGATCAGTGAGGGATGCCAGATGTGGTGCTCTTTGGACAAGACTGAGCAGACAGAATGCCATCTGGTGGCAGCTACCTGTATAGCATACCCAGCTTCCCTCTCAGAGGAGATGCTTGTTTCTCTCCAGGAAAGAGCTGTGGTAGACACACTTTGTGGCTCACAGTTTGTTTCCTGTTACAAATCCAGCTGTTCTTGGACCAACAACATTAAGTGCTGATGTTAGAAACTTTTCTGCTCCTTAGGAACTATATCACTTGGATTAATACAAAGAGCCTCATCCAAGACTTCTCTGATTTACAAACCCCAAGGACTTTTGTAGCACATTCTTTCCATTAAAAATTTGATCAAGAATTCTCTCCTTGCCAGGAAGCAGTTGGCCACATTAGAGGGAATGAACTGAAGGACAAAATTATTTTATCTTATTTCCCTATGGAAGGCTCCTTTTAAGACTTTCCCTTAGAGTATCAAGACTATGAACATATTTTTATACAGTTACACAGTTGCTCAGGGGATTTTAATTTTATCAAAAAAAAAAACCTGCAAGCCAATAATTTTGAAACTCTTGCACAAAGTGAAACAGTGGTCTACAGATGCTTTCAAAGTGATTAAAAGCTGCTCTGTTATTGCCTCTGACTTGTCTCACAGGCACAGCCTCACAGCTATGGGCCAAAAATCTGTGGAGTTTTACATAACTGGAGGTATTAACTGTGCACATGCATATCCATGTGCTTGCCCATATAACTGACCAAAGTTAAAAATGAACAGAAGTGCTTGCTGGCCTAGGCCTTAGTGAACCATAGCAATCCCACCACTTTGCAACCAACTGTAATGAGCTCAACTTCTGTCATGTACAATGAAAAAGAAACACATGTTTTGTACACTTTGTGCAGCTCTGATGCATTATGAGAAGATGGACTGGTACTCATAAGAGGATTCATCAAGTAGCCAGCAAGAATCTTTTCCAGATAAAGTAATTACATTTTAGTGGTTCTGACCTGTGGTTCTGAGAGTAAAAATCCAGTGCAATCTGTGTGCTAATCTACACAAGATGATCATAAACATTTGAGAGAGAAATAATCTTTATAAAGCTCAATAGTAGTGTAGGCTGTCTCTATAATGTTATAATAGGATCATTTCTGAAGAGAATAAATTACAAATCAATACTTTTAAAGGATTTCCTATTTATTTAAATAAAAATATTTTAGATTGCTTCTCATGGTTTAACAAATTACTGAAACTAGTTCCTACAAAATATTGTACAGATTAAAATAAAATTATCACTTACCAAGTCCCTCTATTTTTCTTTAATAATTTTTTTTCAGTTTGTAGTTAGGAAAATACCTCAAATCCTGAACTTCTGTAAAAGAAATTTAATACAACCTATAAAAAATAATCACATACTACTAGACTAATGCAGTCAGGAAGAACAAACCTGAAATCCTGTATCATTTTGTATGTAGCAAGAAGAAGGGCTATGTTAGCACAAATTCCAATTAGTTATTTTGATCCAAGAATGAGTAAATTAACCTAATATTAAGCATGTCCAAAACAGCTACTAGCTGCCATTTGCTGAATTCCTAATATTCCCAGGGATCTAAAGGAAATTTTTGAGATGCTGACTCACAGTGCCGTCCCTAAGTCTAAAATCAGATTTTTCAAGAAGAAAAGTAACTATTTAAAGACATACTATCTATAAAAAAAAATCCACACATACTTTTTTGGCTTTGAATACAGGATAAATATAGATAGGAAACTTAGATTTAAAATGTTGTAATATATACAAAGAAGAACCAAGAAAATCAAAGTTAAAACTAAGACTTGATATTTAATTCAAAATAAACCATGATGCTTTGTCTTGCCAAAACTGAAATGATTCTGTTTTGCATCTCCCTGGACACCTGGGAAAGGTGTGTCAGACACAGCTCCACACTGCAGCTTGGGAAGGAGCTGGAGAAAGCACCACCAGACAGCTGAAGTGTGAGTATACTTCTCCCTCAGAGGCAGGAAGTTACAAATGGGCTTTCAATAAGAGCAGGAGAAAGATCTACCAGATAAAAAACTATTAAGTGGACATTATTAGGTGGATTTTTTGTGGTATAAGCTACTACATAACATCTTATTCTGCTTTTTTTATAAGCCTATTTGAACTTACAACATATTGGACTGAAGCAAATGTTAAAAAAAAAAAAAAAAGTATTCCATTTCTGACAACAGTCCATGTTTGAAACAAATGTGCAATTTCACATCTAAAGGTTTGTCTAATTTTCTATGTAAAGTTGTCTATGTAAGTCTAATTTTCTTTGAAAATTAGGCACATTTCATAGAAATCATCCCAACCTATGTAAATTCAACTGACATTTAAAAGTAGTATTTAATGTCAAAAAAGAAAAAACACCAAGCTTTTTTACCCAAATAATGAGGTTCTGGCTTATTAAATATTAAAAGCTGTATTGTCATGTATGGAGATTATAGGTTTTTAGTTGATTTGAATGTGCTTCATTTACAGCCTTTCAAGGCTATCCTATTCTAGTTATCACTTTCTTCACTACCTGAATTTACTGAAAGTTTATTTCCCAGTCCTTCTATAATACAGGACTTCCTTTGACTCACTGTTTTTACCTCAGCCAATCAATCTCTTTCCTCAGTTTACTTGGATTTTTTTATTGCTGGATTATTTGTGAGGGGTTTGGGAGGGTCGGTTTGTTTGTTTTTGCTGTTTTTTTGGGAGGATTTTTTTGTTGGTTGGTTGGGTTTTTCATGGGTTTTTTTGTTTGGTTGGTTTCATTTTTTCTTGGTTTTTTTTGTTTGTTTTGTTCTTAAATTTTTCAGCTGGAAAGGCTAAAAATTATCCTTTTCCCTGTATCGAAGAGGAAAATCTTACCAATTACTATTCATAATGAACATTTTTTTTCCCATAAAAAGCAATTTCATCCAGAATATTTATATTAACTCCGTTTCTACTTAACAATCATTTTCCTTTCTG